GTTTTTACTGGGAGTCGTTCCCTGTTCCCTTGTCAACTCTGGCCAGATGTGGCAGACCAACACCTGCAACAGCGGTATGATCTTGTTATCTTGCGCCAAGAGGAAACCGCTTGGAAATGCCGAGAATGAGGGGGAGTTGTTACAGAAGGAGCAATATTTTTATGTATATAATCTTTCTTTTGTAAAGATGATCATTATTCTGTGCTTGATAATGAGAGAGACTTGAAGGCGCGATAGCTCAGTCGGTAGAGCAGTGGTCTCGTAATCCGATGACCCAGGTTCGAAACCAAGGCGATGCGCTAGTGCCTTTTGGTAAGGCATTAATCCTCATTACCAGGTCCCTCGGAGAGGACCTAAAGCTGTCGGCCGTCTGGTTGCTTACTTACAAGTATTTATGCTTTCTTAGTAGTCAGGTAGTCAGGTAAAATAAAAACCACCACATGTTAAAGGAGGTTCACACACATGGATTGGTCTCTCATAGTACATAGAGTATTCAGCCACAGCTGCCTCACAATATTATCCATATATTGCATGCTCCGGTGTTGGATATAACAAAGGGTATCAACTGACAAATTAAGAACTTTGTGAGAGATGATATATTCCACCAAGGCCGCAGTTTAAAATATAATGGCACGAGGGGAATTCTGAATTAGGTGGTGAATATATGTTATATTTATCATTTTTGTGTGCATAAAATGGAGGGTATTTGCGATCTCATGCCTTGCTCTTGTGGACTTGGGCCCTCTCTCTCAAATTTCTGTGAGAAATTTGCTCTCAGCCAATCAGATGCCATGATTGCAGTAGCTTATAACAGTAGCTTGTTATTGATATTAAGTTTTATGACACAGGGCCCAGTTGTAATAGTAATAGAGTTATGATTGGTACTGGCTGATAGTCCTGCATTTTGGGGAAAGATGAATTGTAGGGAAAGGAATTATCTCAAATTGCTTGAACAAAATTATGATTCTGGCCTTTTTCTGGTCAAGAAGTTGATGATCACTGACTCTACGGCAGAGGGCAAGAAATTTGATATTTGTGCAATCATACAAAGCAAACTTTGCACAATACCTCATCAAATTGAAAAGCTGTTGACAAAGGGAATGGCTTCTTATTGAATTTAACCTTGAGATTTAGATATAATGTATGTACCTTTTATACAATTTTTTAAAATTCTGATCATGTAAAAGAAAATTTTTCCTTTATTTCTAATAAATATCAAACATCTCATACCCTCTCATTCTTGCACAAGTAATCATAATGATGATAATAACTTTCTTTTAGAGTATTATCATATCACTGGTTTCTGGATTCTAGTACTGTTTAGCTCTGTGGGGAAAATGAAAGCTGCTTGGGCTATGGTCGTGCACATGCTAATCCACTCACGTTGACCTAAAGCGTACACTCTATTAACACCTGGGTGGAGGGGAGCAATGTAGATAAAAATGCTTTGCTCAAGGATATATTTGTGCCATGCTGGGGCTTGAACCCTGGGTTACTGCATTAACAGTCAAGTGATTAAAGCCCCACTGCACTACTTATAGCTACTTGTGCCCTCTACATGTATATAGCAAACAATGCCTAATTAAGAAATCGTACTCGAGTAGTTGTCAACAGTGGACTCAAGTATTCACAGCCTTACTAATCAGTGCTTGTTGGTCCCCCATGATCCCCTTTTTCTTACGTTAATAACTATATGTCAGTGACCTTGCAGGGAGGTCTAATCATCCTGGCCAAACTAGTGCAGACAAGCTTTAAACTAACTAAGATACGTCTACTCAAAGAGGCAAGATGCACCCCCCAAAAAACGCACAATTATTTGGGTATACAATGTATATATCTTTCATATTTACATATGAGCTTTCAAATTCAAATGCTTTTAAATTAATAGCATATTTTGTACATTCATGTATAAAGCACTCCATGTATGTCTTGTAAGATAACTGCATTTGATGCTCACATTTTAAATCATATTGTGTATGAAACTGTAAAAGGGTATCGTGGAGTCAACGTAAAATACCATTATCTTGTTGCAGGCATTAGATATGAATAATTAGATGAAATATGATTTTTATTTGATATGATTTGGTATACATGTATTATGATTGTACATTACGAGTATAAATTATATGTCACTGCACAGTCATTTTACGTTTATCGTACATGAACATTAGCTCTTGTTTATTTAATAAAACACTTTTTGCTCTTTTAATCTTAAAATTATATATTTGATTTGCTGAAAAAGCCTGAAGACATTGTACATGCATTTGGAGACTGCTGCAATGTGCAGAGTATTCATATAATATCAGTATGAGTATTGAGTAGAAGTCATATTAGGTGTACATACATAGCTGCCAACCATTACTACTTTTGAGGAATTATTTCTTATTTTTTTGGCCTTCAAACTCATGTTATGAATCTTAGATTCCTCTCATTTTCTGAAAACCTCTGTGTAAAAAGTATCCAAAATTGACTGTACCATTACTCACAATTTTGCCTTGAGTGAGTTTTGCCATGAAATGTTGCCAAGTATTTTGCATAACTTCTGTATACACATGTCAATGTAGTGTTTTCAACAACTGCATTATGTTATGAATTTAAGAGAGCGAAACATCCATTTTACCCGTTTTCACAAGAGGCTGTTTCTGACAGGTGAAAATTAATCCAGAAAGAAACCAATTGAAAGTGTTCCAAGCATCCCCCTCCCCATTATCTGGCAACTTATAGGTAAACGATTACCTGGTAAAGAGTATGAAGAAAATAAGGGATAACATAAAACCCAGTGTATAGGGCTCTGAACCCGAGTCGGACTTGATTTCAATGCATGCCTAATTCTATGCGAATGTTTAATACACACTGTACATGCATTAAACAGTCTACTCAACAGGACATTTTATTGTTAGGTGAGAGTTTATTTCAAATAAATTGCAATATCTCTTTATAAAAGGAAGATTTGAAGCTCTAATTTTGAACACAGTATATTCACATAGAACCCTTTTACACGAAGAGCAAAACAAAGTTTATGGGGATTGCTACGTATACATGTGCTATACTTGATGCTATGAATTCAAAAAGTCAGTTTAGTCTGTGCATGAGCAGATAAAAGTCATTTGTTTCACAAAGATCCTAAGTTGAACCTATCTCTAAGTTGGACTTAACAATTATAGAAAGCCATTCGCATCCTTGAAAATATTTTGTAAAAGTTATTTTAAAAGGCAGAAAGTGTCGATTCAAATCATTCATATTTTATATATCAAGGAGATTTCATGTTCTTGATGTGGAATTCATAAACAAATCTAAAATACTTGAATTTTTGCTTTTGAATATATTTTATTTTAAGGCTACAGATGGCTCTCCATAATATTTAAGTCCAACTTAGAGTTAAGTTCAATAAAGGATCTTTGTGAAATACCCCCAGACCCTGATATCAAGTGAGGGAAATACTGGATAGGTAGGTGCTCACAAAAGTTATGTAATCATTCTTCAATGATGCATCCTTGTCGCATCCCATGATAAGCAGGTTAAAATGAATAACTGCTATTTATGTTGCATCCCCATCACTTGTGGAGAAAATAATGTAAATGCTCTTAAGTGGGACTGTTTTGATGGCATTAGTTTTCCTCTTTTTGTTTGTAACACCAGCCATAGATGTGCTTGACCTTGGGTAGGCAGATACAAGAAAAATCTGCTGTATTTTTATCTATAATTGTGATAATCTTGATTTATTACAAATGTACTATCATGCATTATTCAATTCTCGCTACCCCAAATAGCGATTCTGCCGAGATCCGGGGAAAATCCTGAAAACGCGCATTGCATTATGGGATAGCTTTTCGACATTACAGCTTCCTGTGCAGGCGTTCGTGATCACAACCCTCTCTTTCACGGTAGAGTTTAACGGCCTTTTGTGCTAAAGTCACTAATTCTGCCCAAAGCTTTCCATTGCATATTATAATCTGTACAAATTACACTGATTGGCATCGATTTTAGCGTGCGTGAAAACTCTGCACAGCGAACACAGGCGCTAGCGCCAGCGGGATGGGACTCTATACCGGAAGTTGTAGTGACGACCCGAGAGAGTGAAAATTACCTCGTCTCGCGAATTTCGAGATTTTCGTACCTATTTAGGGTAGCGAGAATTGAGTTTATCTGACATCATTAAACCGATCTTGTACTATTATACCATCATTAAAACCAACTTGTCAAGTCTTTCTTTCCTTCAAAAATGTTTCAATGATTCATTTCTCAGCTGTTTTACATATTAGGAGGATATGTAGTACAAAGATGCTCGGTACATGCATCACATTTTTTCATATCATCATTCTAAAAAATAATATGGATTTTTTTTTTTTCTCCTGCAGACCCATATAAAATGTTTTTGACAAGTTTCGACAAGCTTCAAGCTTAAATTAGCCTGACACTGGGTGTTTTAAATTTTAAGTTTTACATCTTAAGAAAATGTAAAGGGGGGGTTATTAATTTTTGTTGCACAACATTTTCATCCGTATGATATCAATATGAAAGAGTGAAATATGTTGGCCATCCGTCATTATGACAGTGGTTTGATAAATGATGCAAAGTTATTTCCTCTGCTAAATTCTTATTATTTTCTGGGAATGAAACTGCTACCTTGATTTCCTGAAAGATGGGAGCACCAAAATGACTTCAAACGTTTTGTCTTCGATTGACATAAAAGATATTTAACATATATTCACAATTATGTCCCCTAGCTACCTTGCCATCTTGTAAAAACAGAAAATCACTCAAATTTAAACTGCTAACTAGATTGCCTAAAAGATACATGTCTACGTATAGGTGCATCAAATGGTGCATATTTTTTCCTTCAACTTTAGCTGATGACAAAAATGTGTGAAGTGATAAGCTGGCGATATGAAGGCCTATGTAAACCCTCCCCCTCCCCGTGGGACTCCCCCTCGAAGGTACATGTATGGCAATTATTTCGGATACCGGAACAGTACACACAAAACAAAACATATGCCGATATATTTCGGATATTATAAATTGCAACCGTTAAGCAAAGTAGCTTTGTGTGGCCATGGTGACAATTAACTGCGATTGCCTTGTCTCTTTGCGTAAATCTGGACCAGGAACGTTAACATTTTATTAATTTATTGCTCATGAGGTGTTCATGTGGAAAGGAAATCACTAAAACATTGCCAAAATGTCGAATTCTTCAACAAAATTAATTCCGCGACCGAGGACAAGCAGCAACCCTTTGAGCAGGTCGCTACCTGTTGCGACCGCCGGAGCTTCGGGGACAGCACCTGCTGATAGGGTGCTGAAGTATAGGGCAGAACACTCTGGTGATCGTTCACTGAAGAAAACGGCGCAGGTCTCGCCACTTCAGATGAGTACACCGTCAATGCGCTCAGGAACCACCTTCAAGACAAACAAACTGCAAACAAAGAACAGTACATGGACACCTATTCTACATAAACCATCAAACGAACAGGTGATTCTAATAATTATGAAAATCGGCCAATCCCAGGCAAGGCCAAATACGGTATAATGAAGTCGAAGAAGAAGAAGAATGATTATGAACATGATGATGATGACGAGATTAATGATGGGCCAGGGGTGTTTTTCATTTAACAAAAACTTCGCATCAAATAGCACTAGGCCTAACGCCAACGGTCTAGACCATCATAAATAATCGTCCTACTCCTAGGTCTATATCATTTTATAATACTGTCTAGCATAGCATAGAGGTCTAGACCTATTCATAAGTTAAAAGATTAATGAAATATTGCCTGAAAACTTCTTCAAAACGCTGTCTTAAATAATCAGGTGTCCGGGCACTCGGGCCTGAATTCACAAAGGTGGTTTGTTGACAAACCTTGGTTTTCGTGCGTCATTTGCCGCGTTTTGACGCGTTTTTACAAACCAGGTTTGTAAAAACCGTGTAAAAACACGTCATATGACGTACGAAAACCAAGGTTTGTCGACAAACCTCCTTTGTGAATTCGGGCCTCGTTGTCTGGGAATAAATTGTTTGGTCCATGATCATGAATTCTCATACTCTACACAAATTCATTTAAATAAATTAATACCAAATGAAGTTAATGAACAGCAAAATTCTAGACTACGAAAATGGGGCAACTAAAAGAAATTAATTGCAAAAAAACTCTGGAGATATCACAATCTCTGTATTCTATGTTGGATCGGTGTGTACTACAACGAAAGAAAAGGTCATGAAAACAGAGTCCTTCATTCAGGAACTAGAGTTTACTAATGTATCCATAAAACTAAAAGCGATTTTTCAAAGGTAAGGTAATAAATGCATAAATTGGAAGTCCAAATACCATACAACATGTACAAGCAGTTGGTATCATTGCACTATATACTTACAATTTTGATAACATGTATTCTCTCAAAATTAAGTTTTCCAAACCTTTGTGGGTAAGCTCATTTTTTTGGGAACAGATGCAAACGACTGCAAAATGTAAAATGTACTTTGCTTGTGATTATTAACTACATATTCCTTACATTTTTCTTTTTATTTCAGCTCTACTTGGAAAGGAGAGATTTAACTGCTCATTGGGTATGTGTACACAAAACTAACAAAAGTATTTCAAATTTTAGTTTAGCTCATGCAGTCGGACTCCAATGGATCCAACAGAAATACATGCACTTAAAGTTCTGACACTAGACCTACTTGGAATAATTTAGGCTTTCATCAAGCAAGGATATGGAAATTGATAGATGATAATCACATGATGCATTTAAAAAAAGTAAAACCTTGTTAAAACTAATATAGTTTTGAAGGACTGTCATGGGATCATGAGAGAATTGGATGCTCAGAAATATATTCTGGAACTCCTTGAAGATGGAGATGAGAAATCAGTGTGCCAGCAAAACTGATATAAGCACAGAACCAGCGTCATTTTGATAGGACGTCAGTGAATTTGTACTTATAAATTACGGTTTTGTGAAATTGTGCCAGGGAGGTTTGTGGCTTTAACTCTGTGATACAGTAATATGTAGCTAGTAATATGCCACAATTTTTTTAATATTCCCTGTGCCACATTGTATTTATTGTACCAAATGCTTCAAGATTATTGAACTGTTTCAGTGAAAGCTTAATCTACATCTATTTTTCTTTCTTTTCTTCTTTTTTTTTTCTTCTTCTTCTTTTCCCCTATATTATTATTATTGTTGTTGTTATTATTATTACTGAAATAATGAATTACTGCTATACTCTTCTAGTTTGACTTGTGGACCGACTCCCAGCGGAAGCGATTCCTGCAGTTCCTGCTGGTGCATTGTAAGCGTAGCCAGCTTGTCTTCATTCAGCAGTTCTTCGACAGTAAAATCCCCCTGACCCACGTGGACTTCACCAAGATCCTGCCACGGTTCCTCTGCCTCTACATCTTCTCGTTCCTAGACCCTCGTAGCCTCAGCCGCGCATCCATGGTCTGTTGGCACTGGAAGTTTGTCACTGAACAGGTAATTAATGGCCAGTGGTTATGAAATACAGTCAAACCTGCTTAAGTGACCGCCTGTCTACAAAGACCACCTGTCGTCAACAAACACATTTTTTGTTTCCCTTGAAAATGGTTTCTCATTGAATCATGTACTAAAGGAACCTGTCTACAAAGACCACCTGTCTACAAAGGCCACTTTTGTGTTTCCCTTGGGCGGTCGCTGTAGACAGGTTTGATTGTATCTAGAAGAACTATCTTGATGTTATGGGAAATTTTCAGAAGAGTTATGAAGATGCTAAACTCAATCAGGCTTGTAGTCTGGGTTTGAATATAAGATGTTAAATTCAAAAGTAGGGTATCAATAAAGGGGTGTCCATTCTATATATTGGATTTTAACAAAACAATTTCGATAGGTGTCTTCCACAAGATTTAATGGGATTCTTTCAGACAGGAAGATGTCCTTCTGGCTATTAGATTGCAAGTAATGGAAAATTTACTGTGCAATTTAAGGCATCAAAATTGATGCTTTTAGTATTTTAGACATATATTGTATCTATCTTTTAACTTTCAATGTCAAGACTCGTTCAGATATGACACTGAATAATTGCAGCGGTTGTTTTATGATGATGACGTAAAGTGGAAGAGGCTTCACATATCTGTATCTATTGACACAGAGCTCAGGGTTTACATGTATGGGCAAGTCCTTTGGTAGGAGCAGTTTCCGTTTATTAACACATATTGAAGAAAAAAGAACGCAGTGATTTTACTGTGCCTTGCATATATCTGAACAAGCCCCTATTCTAGCTGTCAACTATGGCAAATTTGAAGCCCCAAACTGCAAAAAAATACATCAAAGTCTCAATTGATAGTGATTCTGTAAACTTAAAGAGGAATTTAACTCTTGATGTTAAGTTGCTGATAATAGAAGTGGAAAGATTAGAGAGACAGATCAGTGAAAGTTTGAAAGAAAATCTGATAACAAGAAGTAAGTTTTGTATTTATGAACTATCAAATTCATAAAGTCATATTTCCTAAGATTTTCGGGTGGGCTATCCCTTTAACATTTCATTTTCCTATCTGCTACCTTGTTTGGCGTTCAAAAATAAGGGATAGAGCAACGTCGATCTGACGCTACTCAGTGGCTGCTGGGCTCACAATCAATTGGGCAAAAAGAATTTCCATTTTCGGTTTAACTTAATAAAATTTGGAGTGGACTTTAGAAAGATTATTATTATTATTATTATTATCATTATTTGATTGATTGATTGCAGGATGAGCTGTGGATACACAAGTGCCTCCGACACGGCTGGCTCCTGCCGTATGTCCCCAGAGAGAACGAATTCGGAGCTTGGAAGAAACACTACATCAAATGCTTCAGGTCACTGGATGTTACACAGCCTAATGAAAAGGTACAATCTTCTGTCAACTTGTTGAGAGAGATGCAGGATTTTGTAAAAGAGGGGCAGGGACAATGTTGCCCCAAATTGCTGGCAAGGAAAAAAAAAAGGGGGGGAGTTGGGCATACTTCCTTGATCCTGTAGTGATTCCAAAAAGGTGGCAAATTCCAAATTTTTACTCTTTAATATTATTGAAAAACTTCTCTTTTTATCTCAATTACCCATTGTCTTTGGGAACTTTGTGGCTCGTGTTCTAATGAAGCCTATAGGAATTAGAGAATTCAGTAATCGAGGAGAAATGGTTAATGTTTGATGCTTTCACATGGTCACTAAAGAAGTTGAAATGTTTATCACCTGGCCTTTAAAGCCCCACTGCACTATTTATAGCTACCTGCGCCCTATATATAGCAAACAATACCTAATCGGTGCCTGTTGGTCCCCCATGATCCCCTTTTTCTTATGTTAATTGAGACTTTGAGAGCTGATTCGATGAGATAACCACCTGTCAGTGACCTTGCAGGGTGATTTAATCCACCCTGGCCAAACTAGTACTGACAGGCTTTAAGAATGCAATAATATACAAATAATGAATGGTTATGAGTTCAATAGTGCGAATATTTTCATGAGTTGAGTTGAAAGATTAACGTTAATTCTATTCAACGAGGCGTCAATAGTGTGAACATTTTCATTCGTTGAAAGATCAACGTTAATTCTATTCAACTCGGCGTTGAATAGAATTAACGTTAATCTTTCAACGAATGAAAACGTTGAATAGAATTAACGTTAATCTTTCAACGAATGAAAATGTTCACACTATTAAACGAATGAAAAACATTCATTATTTGTTTTATACAACATCAAAGAAGATCTAAATTTTAGTACTAGATTTAATTACTGAATGTAAAAATTAATTTAGTGGAAGTTACAGCATTCAGGTGAGGATATATCATAAGGCTCGATGTCCATGAAATAGTATACAAATAATGGTAATGAGTTCGATAGTGCTAATATTTTCATTCGTTGAAAGATTAACGTTAATTCTATCCAACTCGGCTGACGCCTCGTTGAATAGAATGTTAGTCTTTCAACTCATGAAAATATTCACACTATTGAACGAATGAAAAACATTCATTATTTGTTTAATACAACATCGAAGAAGATCTAATAGAACTTTAATCAACAAATTATACTTTACTCCTTATATTAAAGATAAATTAAAGTTGGAGTCAAGCCTCCTCGATTACATTAAGATTGCCTTCGCGTCAGATACACGCAGGGATACGCGCATAGCAGAGTACGCAGGTACGCAGTCTGCATATAACCAAAAATGCTCGGCGAATATAACCAAAAATGCACGCCCGTGCAATAGAACATCTATTGAATATCATGTGACCAACAATCCTCCAATCAAATGACAGGATCCACGTAGGTGTTGTATAATTTTTTCTATTTTCTTCCAGTCTGACAGATATGGCAAGCTGGGGGACGGTTCAACACTAGCGGAGAAGGAGTATTTAAGGAGATTGAAAGCGGGCAGGACCAAGGAACCACCTCTTAATCCACGTGAGTCAATCCACTTTCCTCAAGTATCTAATTGCCTGTTCATCATACTATAGGAAATATATATGAAATTGTATAAATAAAGGTTGTGTAAAGAATCAACCCTACCACAAATACAATGTATGACAGTAGATAGCGACCTTCCTCCCATACTGCGCAGGTCAGCACACATGCAGATACAATATTGGCTTCCATAGAGAATGTACAGCAGTGTCAACTAATTCCTTATATTTTACTAAGCTATTGGTCAGGTTTCATGAACTCCCCTATGATTTGATGAGATCTACAATGTACATAGGCACCATCATAATCTGTAACTTATAGTTATGAAATGAAAGATGGAATTAAAGTAAATGCACCTGATATTATCATTCTTTCAATCCCAGATCCCTATGCTGAGAGGGGGCCATGGCTTGACCCTGATCCACGACCCCAGGACACTGAGAAGGCTTTCAAGAGCATGGCGGACTCGGCCAACCCGACCTTTGGCCTATCCAAGGCGCACCAGCGATCATGGACTGAACCTGCCCGCAACTTTGAATATGGCCTGGAGTCCGGCGATAGAAAGAAACAGCATAGAGTGAACCAGGTACCCTGAGCTGCAGATTTTGGTCTTCTAAGTTCTATAAGGGATTGGGTATCTTTGTCTGAATTTACATTGTTTTACAGCATAGCAGTCATTATAAATTTGATAAATGGAGCTAACAAATAGCAAGAGCTAGCCAAGGTTGCCTTGTATAATACACCGTAATTTATGGCAATAGAGTCCCGCCGCAACACTAATGTCCTTCGGTAAAACTAAAATCTAGATTTGCCACTCTCAATCCAGGATATTAAGTAAAAAGGTATCCGGTAAGAAGAAATTCCTTGAATGCTTTAACGCCTTATTATGGCGGCTCATTATAGCCGGGATAATAATGTGATACCTTGTATTAAGTGCAGTAATATATATTCATATAGTAGCTAGGCTGTGTATAAAATGGACCTATTATTATTATTATTACTATTTATCATTAAGAATAAAATTTGAATCATGAGGAAGTACTTTTGGTATTAATGAGGTCTGGCTTACAAAATTAAATTCAAGTCCCCCTTTTGCCACCTTTCACATTTTCCAAAGCCCCCAAAGCACACCTGATATTGTTTCATTGATATTGTTTGCCATCTAGTGTTTTAAGATTTCACACATGGGAGTATTGTTAGATAGCCATCCATTGACATGACTCTCAATATAATGTTTACGGGTTCGTATCTCAGCTCATTGCATGTGTCCTTAGACAAGGCATTTTTATCGATGGATGTTCTCTCTCCACCCAGGTTTGAAATGGACACCTGACAGAATTAAAAAAATGAACTACAGGTGCTTATAAGCTAGGGTAATGATATCAAAACTGTAGAAGTGCAGACTTAGGTATGTTACATGATATTTTTTTGCACAATACAAAAACAGTTCATTATTTTTGTTTACTTTACAACCGCTGTATATTGTTTACATAAATACGTATTAGTTTATTATTAATTGTATTAGTTTTGTTTTCTGATTTTTTTTTTATCGTCCTTTTTGCAGGATGTAGAAGAAACGATAGGCAACGGCAGGAGTCTAGCCACCTCGCTATCAGCCTGTATAGCAATAGAACTGAGTGAGAGCCCAGACAAGATCAACAAGGCCTGGGCGAAACCTCAAGTTCAGCCAGTCTCTAGAAGGTATTGACATTCAAACCTGCCTTTTAGTGAATTCCCATCTGTATAGAAATACCACCTGTCTATTAAGACCATGACTTTTGTCTCCTTTAAAAAAAGGCCAACAATTTATTCCCTATTGTATAGGCTAGGTCCTGAGAGGACCTGCAATAGAGTAGGGAAGCTTGCCTGAGGCGTGTCCTGCATAGCAAGAAGTAATGAATGCAGACTGGATTCCAAGTATGGTAGTTCATTCATGAATAACAGGTCAATGGAATAACTTGTCTCTAGGTCCCCAGGAAAGAAACATCCATAAACTTGAATACCAATGTTAATAAACCAGTCTATTGATTTGACATTATAATGGAAGTGGAATGTGACTTGATTGAAGATGAAAATGAAAGTAGCTTGCAAGTGCATGAGGTATGTGATGTTGTTTTGTCCAAGCAGTCAGTCAAGTTAAGATATTCAGGACACTTGTAAGCCAGCAACATAGTATTGCATATTAAAAATACTTGGACTTGCCCTGGACTCAAGTCACAATGAACATGACAGACAAAGAAAGCGGACTAAATATACAGTTCGTCAGGTAGACAAAGGAACATCCCTTCACTGCCATTATGTAAAAAGGTGAATATGCATGTGACACCTGTTCTACACATTTTTACATAATAGCAGTGAAGGGATCTTCTTTTGTCTACCTGAGGAGCTGTATATTTTGTCCGCTTGCTTTGTCAGTCATGTTCATAGTGAGTGGAGATACAGGTAGAAGAATTTGATTTAAGATCAAGGGAGGACACACTGTATTTATGATGATCTTGTGAAACAATGACCATGACAGGCTCATATCGGCTCTTTCTTTTAATAGTGAAATGACTACTTTGCTGTGTGTGTGGGGAGGATCGAGTTCACTTCCCTAATGTGATGTTTGTTGTGTGAATGTTATGAACAACAATTTTTGTTTCATAAAGTTGCCTTGGAATTGAGTGACCTAAGGGGTTTTCTTTTGTGCTTCAAACACTGTCGCACATCCGCGTATTTCATCACTGGTCGATTTGCATGCCCCTGCCTCAACATTAGTGACTGTTCATGTCTAGAGACCTCTTGTTCTAAATCCTAACCCTAATCTTATATCCAGGGGAGTGTTTCACAAAGACTAAGATCAACTTTAAGTTGTACTTAACTATGGCAGGCCGTTCATGCCACTGTTTACTCTGACCATTTACTGGCATCGGTCTCTCAAGGAAATTACAAATCATGGTCACAAATCTAGAGATCATAATTGAGAGACCAATGGTGAGAGCAGACAGTGGCATGAATGTCCTGCCATAGTTAAGTCCAACTTAAAGTCGATCTTAGTCTTTGTGAAACATCCCCCCTGACAAAATAAAGCCTGGAGCGATTGACGCAGAAGCAAACACCGGTCACTATTTCAGGCACTTTGAAACCACTTTGACCTTTTTGTTTTACAGACCTGATCTATCTAGAGGTGGAGACTACTCTGCATTCAAGGAAACGTCCAAACATGATGTAGGGTCAAAGGTCATCAGAGGGGATTCCCCTTTCAGGATTCTGCTTATATCTAGTGAAGTACCAGCTTATCAAGTAAGTGTTCAAGCATTGACATTTTCTTCTTTCTCTCTGTACTCTGAAAAATCAATTATAGGTGTCTACGGTATTGTATGTCAAGAACTATGTGTATGGAATGATGTCTTACATGAAAATGACACTGAAAAAAGCTTTGCGAAAATGGGTTGCTCTTTCAAATTAATCAAAATGAATATGCACTGTAAAAAACTTTGAGGATGTCTTGTGCAATGCAGAAAAAAAAATGCTTTTAATGTTGCTGATGCTAACTTGCGCTCTCATTTGTCTATATGTAATCATTTCATACAATGAATCATATATCTTCCATGACACAAAGGGCCTCATATTTTCATTAACATTTTTCATTCCTTGATAAATGATCCCCCCCAAAAAAAAATAAAAAAGCAAGATTTGGCAGGTCCTTTCCTGATTGATACGTTAGGAAGCGTTTAGAAGAAGCTTCCAGAATGCAAAATGAATATTATTCAAAATATATATCATTCAGATATGTCAACAAAGAACATATAATAACAAGCATCATTAGCTATTATGCTTTTTGCATTAAAGGCCATGTTTCATAAAACTTGTTATCAATAACAAATGCGAAATTTCTATGACAAATTTGCTCCCAGCCAATCAGATGTCACGATTTCAGTAGCTTATAACAGCTATTGTAACTTGTCATTAATAACCAGTTTTAAGAAACAGGGCCCTGGATACATCTCTTTTGTGCCACTTCATTTCTCTTTTAAAGCAACCTAAGAAACCCTTTCTATTCCATCGTCCTTTCAATTAAAGCTCCTTGTGTCAGCGGCCAAACCAGACGTGTTACCCATAGTGTATGAGTATAATGGCAGCACCATAGAGTCCCTCCTGGAGATGTTACAAGCTACTGTAGGGTCACATCAAGCCAGGTAAGTTATTCATGTCAAACATAGCTGCATTACTATCCTGGCTGTGTAGTAAAACCTGTTCTATTGATTCTCAACATTTCAAACACCACTGTACAAATCTCAACTGATTACACTCAAAATCGGTACTTAAGTGACAATTGATGACACCTAAATAGCAGTAAAATACAATCTTTTCACCTTACTGATGTTAGAAAGAATAATTTGAAAATTCAAATTGTGAGTCTACTGTCAAACTTCATTGTGTGCATTTGTGTGTAATGTGTGTATTGATTATTCATGTGTGCAATTGCTGGGAGGTCGTGGGTTCGAACCCCGGCCGCGTCATACCAAAAGACGTTAAAAGATGGGAGTTGTTGCTACCTTGTTAGGCGTTCAACAGTAAGGGATAGAGCAACGTCGATCTGGCGCTGCTCAGTGGCTGCCGGGCTCACGATCAATTGGGCAAAAAGAATTTCCGTTTCGGTTTAATAAAATTTGGAGTGGACTATTAGGCTATTATTATTATTATTATTATTATTATTAGCATGTAGTACAGCGCTAGAGGTCAATATGCATTAGCATTGACTCTCTATGCTTTGCTGGAGTGGCCTGATGCCAGCGTATAGCAGGAGGTTATGCCGTTTGCTGTAGCATGAACGGAATGAAATCACTCGGGGTGTTTAGGTCGAAGCTATATTCCCCAATATAGTCTTAAACGTGACAAGAGGTTACAAATTTTTCTATTAATTGTACAGAAATATTATTTACTGACCTGAAAAGTGAAGAAGAAAACTCAATCTTTGATGCGGTGCGAAATTTACAAACGAGTAACGTGAAATTGCCCATCTAGCTAGCTGGAAGCAACAGTACTATGGTATCGCCGAGAGAACAAAATGAAAATATAATAAACATTGCGGTTACCAGCGTACTGCAGTTGAATCTATTTCATTTCAATTATGAACTTGAATTGATTTGCTTATACTATTTACTTATCTCTATAGGTTTTTTTTTATTTGCGATGTAACAACAAATTTGAAGAGATTAAAGCTTCTGTACATATTACATAATGTCATTTTTGACTGGCTGTAATGCCACTTTTAATAATAATAATAATAATAATAATAATAATAATCTTTTTAAAGTCCACTCCAAATTTTATTAAGTTAAACCGAAAATGGAAATTCTTTTTGCCCAATTGATCGTGAGCCCGGCAGCCACTGAGCAGCGCCAGATCGACGTTGCTCTATCCCTTATTGTTGAACGCTAAACAAGGTAGCAGCAACTCCCATCTTTTAACGTCTTTTGGTATGATGCGGCCGGGGTTCAAACCCACGACCTCCCGGTTGTGAGGCGAACGCTCTACTGACTGAGCCAACACACCGGTTTTAGCAGCTAATGTGACATTTGTTGGCCATATGAGCATCAATGTGTCTATGTGTTCTTGCAGCAAACTTTATACATTGGATCTTAGAGATGGCTATTATAATTTATACAGAGTAACTTCCTTCTGCGTTTTTTTTATTAAAAAAAAATCATTGTTTTCATTATTTGTAGGAGCATTGGTTTATTCACTCTTGGAGAGGACTCGGTGCGAATCATCAGAGAGATGGCCATCACGGCCAAGATGATAGAACATCCGGACATCAAGAACTTCTGGGAGTCTTTCTCTCAGTGCATCGAGTCGGCCAAAGAGGGCGGATCCATGGATTTCTTTGCCCCGCTCGAGGCTACAGGTGAGGTCACCTTTTCACAGTAACCTACCGGTACATGTCCACCGGTTCACCAGGGTGGTCCTACAAAGATGCTCCGGTGAAAATTGCCACTCTGTCAATGTCCTACATTATATACCTCTCTTTAGAAATCTAGCCATCTGATCTGATTGGTCAAAATTGTAGTCGGGATTTTAGCCATGCCGGCTTACCGGTCAATACCGTAAATCTCTGTGTATAAGACAGGTACAGGATATTTGAGTCCTCAAAATGCTACTTTATAGTGGTTTTCGAAAACCTCTGTATCTCAACATAAATCACATAATGCCAATAAAGAATAGGATCTACTATTTGAAGTTAACCTACGTTCCTAATTTGAAGGGAAGAGAGTTTTTTCAGTCTTGATAAATTATGCCTCTTCACATAGCACTTTGCCGGCAGAAGCTCACCTGTCCCTTCAGCTCACACAGCCGTATCTTGTAGCTCATTCACACGGGATATCGATTCACCACTCAAAAACTAGCCTGCATGTCTAAGTTTATGTTTGGACTCGAAGGAAAATTTGTCTGTCATCTTAAGTTTTAAAAAAGACATTGTTACTATTATTTATGACAAGTTCACAAGCATTTCAAATTTTTCATTATCTCCTTATTTTTCTTTAAATATTTCACTTTACGGTACATGTAGTAATTTTTCTCTAGATTTTAAACATTTTTTTGCTGTCCACGTAACACATTTTGAACTGATTTATTTACAATTTTTCACATCCAGCTGGAGGCCACGAGATGATGTCCCGTCTATCGTCTCTGCTGGGTCTCCGCTTGTCCAGCCCCGCCACTCTCTCACCCACTCGATTTGATTATGGTAAGTTTCAGTCTAGTTTCAACCATATCCCTCGGATAGGACGTTAAATGGAGGTCCCGTGTAGAGGAGAGTTACCACCTTTGCACGTTAAGAACCCACTGCACTATTCGTATAACAGTAGTGGGAACTCCGGTGTAGTGGTCCACCTGCACACCCCCAATCAGTTATACCAGGAGGAGAGACCCCAGGGTTACAGTGATTCAGTTCGCTTTTCGCCTCCCAGGCACAGGTGACGCCAAAATAACGATAATAATAATGATAGCTGTTCAGAGCTGACACAGATATCCAAAGTCCTTTGGAAGTGCATATAGATATTTTATCAGCATGTGATATATGCGCTATACAAGAATGCATATTGATAACGTTATTTAGGAATTTATAACACACACACATATCAAGGTGCAGCAATGATGAATATAAAGCAATATACATAAGAAATAGCTCAACAGGTAATCTACAGGCTGTGAAACTCAAATTTTAGATAAACAGATATGTGTTTTGAATTGCTTTGTTGAATCTAACTGTCTCAGATACAAAGGAAGTGAGTTCTAGAAGACAGGTGCAGCTTTTGCTAAGGAACTGTTTCTGTATAACTGCATATAACCATACACTGTAGGTAATATTGTTATTCGAGTGACTCCGGTCACTCACAGTATCCCTTCCCATACACAGCTTATGCCCATATAAATCAAATTAATATACATATATTTTTGTTAAAGGGATCCGGTAACTAATCACAAGGTATAGTTATGCACACCAGCTTATTTGTGTCGGCCTTGTCAAACCCAATGTGAAGGTTGATAATGCTGTGTGTGAGAGATCACTTCATGGAGGTCAATTAGCGTTCAGGCTGAAGTCTTTCACGGTCTGGACGTCAGTCCCCTCTGTACAAACATAATGTCCTAGAACAAAATTATATGAGGAAGGTTTTTTTCTATGAAAAAGGCAGTGTGTCCTAATTGTTAAAATCGCTATTATCATGCTGTTTTCTTAACATTGATGGTTCCTTGTAATGCTCTACTTTTACATTTTTAAAGAATATATGATACAGTCATTTGTGCATGCTTTAGGAAATTTAAAATATTGTTCAAAGCAAAAGAGAATTATATTGCTCTAAGCAAACATTTTTTTCCTTTGCATTTCCTTTCATCTAAATTGAGTGTTACATATTGTAGAAAGACTAAGTGCTTATAAGTAGGGTTACTTCCTATTGGTAAGGTGCTATATAAACAATAGTTATTACGTACAAGATTCAAGATTACATTGTTGATATGTATTTACAGAAATTTGTTTTCCATTGGTGTTAAATGTAGTTGAAGCTATGTAGACATAGACAAAGCCATCGTATCGTGTGTTAAGAGATAAAAGGGTGTTGAGAGATAGAAAGGTGTTAATATTGTGTTAAAGTATTTTGGTGAACATCCTTCTGGCTCTCAACTGATGGGTATACACTGAGAAAACATTCCGGGTCACCCTTATAGATATTGTAATTAAAGTGACTAGGTAATATTGCCTCAGATTCTGAAACAAAATCCTGGATTTAGCTCATGCTTCAATGATAATTATAAACCTTTAGGTCAGTCAGGAACCCCATGACTTTCACAAGCTGATCGCCTGTCTGATTATCAAGATATTTATGATTGTAAATTGAAACCAAATTTTGCTTTTTCCTAACAGTTTTCATAAAACTTCAGTCTATTGGGGAAAACGAGTATGGTAAAACCAGTCATTCAAAGATTTTTACTTTTTTGAGGCACTTCTTGATCATTTTGAAGTGCAATTTTTTTAGGGCTTCAATATTACACCATATCATAGACATTGATAACACGTAGGGCCGTGCATCTCAGATTTAACATTGTTAAACGATGCCTTTAATGGACATTGACTCATTTGTCCAACAGTCACAGGTGAATGGCTGGACACCGCCCACACGCGGCCCAACCCTTCGCCCCACTCCCTCTACTTCCAAGCGGGTCCCCTGCAGGCCTGGCAGGCTCTTGCTGGTCGAGTGGCCGAGGCAACCACGCGATGCAGTGAAGACCTCAGGGGATTCTTCGTCCAGAGGAGAGAGCAACTACTCCACAGGGTAACAGGTTGGTGGGACTAAACAGCTGAAGATTATTTATGTGAACAAAAAGAGAGGGCATTGCACAGCTGCTATCGGCATTGTCTTCTTTTTATTCAATTTTGAAATCTGGATACTTATTGGATGGCTTTGAGTGTGATACAAGAATATATTGCTCGAGCTGCGACAATATTGAACGAGTCAGAGACGAGTCCAATATTGACTAGCGAAATAACAAAATTTAACTTACCTCTGTAAATATGGATTTTTGTGTGTGATATTGATGTCAATAGTTGAAGTACCCGGATGACTGAGCAATACAAAAATAATATTGGTCAGTCATCCAGGTACTGCGCTAAAGATATGGAATACACTGATTCATTGTACCAGCTGGAGGCCTTATATAGATAATAATTCATTTTATTTTAGTATCCGTGTGCAAAGTTGAGTCTATATTTTGTGTTTTGTATTTCTTTAGCTTCCTAACCATTTTTCATAGAGGGTAATTTTTCTATTTTATCAAATTGAATGAATGAAAGAATGCCTAATAAAAAAAAAGGTGCCATCGTACAAATTTTCAAAAATATAGCAGCTGCTAGTCTGCTAATATATCAAACGCATTCAAGTTTGTGAGATTGATTTCTTTTTTGTAAAACTGAATATTTTGTCATTAGATGTACCAGACTCTGTGAATGTATATGGCAGTGTATTATTATTTGATTAATTCCCCTATCTCTGTGATTTGTAGGTGATGTAGTTCTGCAGGAGTTGGGAGAGGATGGACTAAGCGTATGTGATCAGATCATGGAAGCACTGAGAGAAGCCCTGGAGGAACTAGCCAGACACCCTGATCAAGTGAGTCTCACACAGTCTCTTAAAACTCATTTTATAATGGATAAGTTGGTAGTACAAGATCTTTAGGAGGATAGCTCAAAGATATGTGGCCAGGATAGGGTTACACTATGAGGGACTGTTGAGAAACTAGCCAGACCGTGGTACCTTCAACAAATGAGTCCCACTCAGTTTCCTAAAAAAATTCTTAGAGGTAATGTGATGTAGGATATCAGATAGGATGGACTAGGTGTATGCTATTCAGTCAGAGTAGAGACTCAGAGAAGCTCGGGGGAACTAGCCATGCACCCTGACCAAATAAGTGAGTCTTACACAGTCTCCTGAAGACCTTTAATAGATAAGTTAGTGGTGCAAAAGTTTTTTTAAAATTTCGATTTCCAATCATGGGATTCCTGACTGACCTAAAAGTTTATAATTTATGATTGCAGCATGGGCTAAATCCAGGATTTTGTTTAGAAAGATACCCAATCCCTTTAATATTTCTCTCCTTTTCTTGTCCGCTTCCAGCCTAATCCAGCAGCTTTCCTTGGAGAAACTCTTCTGAAAGTGTCCGGTCAACCTGTGCCGCCTCGAGGGATGACCAATGGCGTGTCAGATGGAGCAACGAGGCAGTCCAAGAAGATGTCTGGCTTGAAACTCGTAAGCAAGGCATTTGATCAATACCGCTTCTCTCTACCCAGGTGTTTAAATAGGTTACGATGTGTACTCAAAGTCAATATGAGGAGACTAGTGAGCTTAGTGCCCATTTTATGCATACTTTATAAACAAAGGTTGCTGTTCTTGACAGTCTGAAAACTTGCCAGAGGCTTACCTGAAAGCAACAAGTAATGTATGCAGACTGGATTCCAAGTATTGTAGTTTGTTCATTAGTTCAACAGCTGAATGGAATACCTTGTCACTAGGCCCAAGGGACAGAAACATCCATAAGTTTGAATATGGTATTAAACTACTGGATAAGATGATGAAGCAGATCCTAATCAATTGATTGGTTGAGAGTGTACATGTGACCAGGCATTTATTTTGCCTAACAAGTAATTTTACTAATAACCGGTCATAAGAAAATACTTATGACTGGTCATTAGTAAAATCATGTTATAAAACATCATTTTATAAAACAAATAAAACCTCATCTTATAAAACAAATAATTCACCTCATTTTGTTTGGGCATTAGTAAAATTAGAAACAGTCCAAACACCCTCGGCTATCGCCTTGGGTGTGTTACTAGACTCTTCCTAAGGTACCTTGTGTGGGTAATTCTTACTAATGCCCTGACTGCTGTGTATTATTTGTATACTATTGCATGGATCCGTGCAAGGATGTCAATCAGTGTTAGTAATAAAAGGGGCTTCTAGTGCTACCTACGCTTCCCTCTTCCCCGCGTTGTACCTAAACATCCTTTCCTTTTCTTTTCCCTTTTTTCTTTCGCGCTAGGCAAGTGAAAGTCAAGATGATCTGTCCATAGGAGAAGACATTGAGGAGGAGATCGAGGAGGAGTACGATGAGGGGAGCGAGCAGGAGCTGATCAAACCCACTAAGTCCCGTTCTGAACCCATCCAATCAAAAACATTCTTACGGACACATTCCAAACCAAGTACTATGAAACAGACATTTCAATCTATGCAGGTGAGTTGTGTTTTACTAGCCTCTAGATGTGTGAATATCGGCCCCAACACCCCTGAAATCAAAGGAACAATATTTTTTTTTCTTCAAATTGTGGGTGCCCATTTTTCACATCCAGCTGTGCTTGTTATTTTGTTATCTTGATTACTGTATTGCTGGTGGAAGCATATTTCCATATTTGTGGACAAGAATAAATTATCAGTCGACAGCCCCCCTCCCCCCCCCCCCCCCCAAAAAAAAAATGAAATGAAAAATGCCTGAATTATTTCAAAATTCTCTAAGGAGGCTTATATACTCCCAGACTTCATTTCTCTGTATCAGATGCAGTATATTTCAGTATATTTGCACTGCACTACATGTAATTATAGCTACATGTACTTGCGCCCTCTATATACAGTAGCAAACAATGCCTAAGTGGTGATCATATGTCCCCCATGGTCCCCTTTTTCTTATGTTAATTGAGAGCTGATTTGATGAGATAGCCACCTGTCAGTGACCTAGCAGGGAGGTCTAATCCCTCTTGGTCAAACTAGTGCAGATAGGCTTTAACTCAAGCATTCAGTGAAATGGGGAACTTCGCTTGAATCTTCTTCAATGAATCTAGAAGTCGCATTGATTTCACTACAGACCTAGTTTTGATCATCTGCATGTATCTGTTGATTATTAATCACAAATAATCTCTCTTCTGAAATGAGTATTATCCTCGGTCTGTCTCTGTAATATTCTTCTAGGTCTTGTTTCATAAAACTTGTTATCAATAAAAAGTTACAATAAATGTTATAAACTACTGAAATCGGGGCATTTGATCGGCTTAGGGCCAATTTGTCATAGAATAAAGAACTTAATTGTTATGAAACAGGCCCCTGTTCTGTTAATGCCCGCTGCAAGGTTCTGGAATCATCAAAATGATGAGAAATTTGGCCAAGTCTTCATAAAGTTAGAATCACTGTACACAGAAAGATGTATATGGGACTACACACACGTGCGCGACACGTGCATTTGTATCTCTCAACAGGCGAGAGATACACTAATTTAGCAAATATATCAATTAGTAGGCAGTTTCCCGTCAAAATTTTTATCATTATGTATTATTCAAAACATATTCTTTCACATGATTGGTAATAAGAGCTTGCATTTCATTTTTTGAAATTGGGGTGTTTCCAATACTGGTCTTTACCTTTAATGTTTTTGTAAGCAATTTGTACCTGCTTTACAAAAAGGGGCTATAAAAATGTTTTGTATTATTAATATTATTATGATTATCCTGGCATTTTCAGTTGACCACCCCCCCTGGGAAGACCCAGTCGGAGCGGAGGAGAGCGCTGGCCAATGAGATCCTTGATTCAGAGCGGGTTTACCTGCGAAGACTCAACATCATTCACAATGTCTACTTTGAGAGACTGGCGGCAGCTCTTCGATCGAACCATGCAATCATTGGACAGACGAATATCAGTCTCATCTTCACCGATACAAATAATATACTTAATGTAACAAGGTATGTGATTCACTATGCCATTGTCTCTATATAAAAGGGCCAATTAACAATTACCTCAAAAAATAAAAAGTTTTACAACTAGTACATGTATGTATAAAATCAACCCCCTAAGCTCCCCAAACTTTACCCAGCATTCTAAAGGTGAAGTATATGAGGAATATAGAGTATTTTGTTGTTGTTGTTGTTACTGTATGTATTGTGCAATTGTGAACGATAGCGAGTTCAGGAACCCATTTCACAAAGCTTTGTTTCAATGACAAATGACAAAGAGTCTTCTGATAACCAATCAGAAGCAAGGATTTCAGTAGCTTATAACAAAAACTGTCATTTGCCACTGATGACAAGTTTTGTGAAACGACCCCAGGTGTCAACAGATAATTGGACAGATGGTCATACCTGCAGTCCCTGTATTAAAGGAGAGTCCCACATAGGCCAAAAGGTCAGATTGGTTCAACGCTGCTCAGTTGATGTAATGTATCACTTATCACTGGGAGATAACATAAAAACACTGCCCACAGAATTCAAGTCAGACTTGAATTATCAAGTCTAACCCATTTTATTTTTATTGAACTAAGTACTTACAATGCAGTTGCTTAGCTGTGAACAGAGGCTAGTACATGTACCTTGTTATCTCAATCAGAATTTCTGTTCATTAATTTTGTTTTATTCTGATAAGTGCAAGGGGAAAGCTTCCACTTGTATTTTGCTATGCTTTCAACTATAAGGAACTAATCATTAAATCCTGTGTAAACCATGTCTTATGTTTGACAGGGGTCTTTTTGAAGAATTGAAAGGACGAGTAGAGAGTTGGAGTGCCCAAATGTGCCTAGGAGACTGCTTTATCAAGTTCCAATCAAAACTCAAGGCCTATACCAACTTCCATAACAACTATGCAATTATCCTCTCCACAATAGATAAGGTAAGCTTGGTAACCCTAACCCCTAACCCTATCCCTATCACCTAACCCTTAACTCTCACCCCAACCCTAACCCTAACCCTATTATCCTCTTCACAATAGTTACGGTATGCTTGATAATCCTAACCCTAACCCTTGTCCTCTAACCCCTTTAGAGTAAGTTATAAACTCTTTGTTCCGGCAGGTGTCATGGCATTCACTTGCCTCTCAATCCAGGGGTCGAAGGCTTGAATCCTAGCCAGGCACTGATGTCCATTGGCAAGACATTAATCCACATTTGCCACTCTCCACCCAGGTGTAAATGGGTACCTGACATTTGATGGGATGAATATTGCAGGGCCTGCAGGTAGAGCAGTATTAGTGTTTGGCCCTGTTTCATACAACTTGATATCAATAACAAGTTACAAGCTACTGTTATAAGCTACTGAAATCATGGCATCTGATTGGCTGAGAGCAAATTTGTTATAGAAATTTAGCAGTTGTTATAGATAACAAGTTTTATGAAACGGAGCCCCAGGGGCTATCCTGGGTAAATAAGACCCACTTGTTATTTTTTGTTAAAGAGTAGTTCCAAAGAAATTGTCAAAGTCAAGGGATATCCTACCATTCATTGTTAGGTGTAGACCAGTTTCGGAAATGCCCCCCCCCCCCGCCTCTCAAAAAATGAAATGGAAGCTCTTATTACGAATCATATGAAAGAATATGTTTTGACTAATACATGATGGTATAACTTTTGCCGGGAAGCCGCCTACTAATTGATATATTTGTTGAACATATCGAATCCGGCCTGGATAGATATCGCCACGGTCATTTCAACATTGAATATTTGGGCATATATTTCTGCCCTTTGCAAATTTAGGTTGAAGTATTGCCATCTAAACCTCTGAAGGCAATATTTAAACAATATTGAATGGATATTTTGCACCCAAAACCCTTGAACCGCAATTTTACCGCTACTGGTCTATATCTTTAAAGTAATTTTGATAAGTGGTAAATTTTTGAGGGGGTTTTGAAACTTGTAGGGGCAACACTTTAGTTCTGTTAATGTTAATACTATTTGTTTCTTATCTCCAGTGTCGAGAGCAAGAGCCTTCATTCCGTGCCTTCCTCAAACAGCACGACAGCTCAGCCTCTTCCGAGATGATGACTATGGATGAGCTGTTGCTAGGCGTGGCCCATCACATCCACCACTACACTCGCCTCCTCTTAGCCATTCATCATGCCACACCCGACGACCACCCAGACAAAGAGGACTTGATGACCGCCATTGATACATTCCGGCAGCTGCAAGATCTTATCGACCAGGTAAAAGTTTTCTTGTGCAAGTTGTGCTACATCTTCTTGCAATGTCATCTGTCCCAATGATTTCTTAATCCGTGAATAATTGAAATTAATGTAGAAGGAATTTGAGGATAATATCACTCAGGCTTCTGATGTTTACTTACTTTGATGTTTACTTTGATGTTGAGGCATAAAGATATCCTTATTTGCCTCTCCAGGCAATACTATCTCTCTGGTATGGACTGTACTTACTGATAAGAATAGAAGAATAAGAAATTGGGGTGAAATGTGGTATTTAAAGAAAAGAGATGCAGTACTTGGTACAAAATGGAAAGCTTGTCCTGGGGACCTGCATTGCCATCTCTTGCTTTTAGAAAGGTCCACTGGGAGTACAATGGTTGAAGTTCATCTGTTGCATTGTAAACAATATCTTTGTATCAGATTAGGTTATTCTCAAGTACAAAATCTTCATATGCAGATTTTATTTTTCTCTCCTTTTTTATTGAACACCAATAGCATTGTCATATAGAACAACTTGTGAGGTGAAAGAAGGGTTGAGTGCAACACAGAGAATACAATTGAATTATTTTGATTTGCTTTTTATGCCTCCGCCACCGAAGGTGGTGCCGGAGGCATCATGTTTTCGGGTTGTCCGTCCGTACGTCCGTCCCATTTGACCGTTATCACAATATCTCAAGAACCATTTAAGATTTAAACTTAAGACTCGGGAATAGTATTTATCACCATAGGAAGACGATCTGATTAGATTTTTGGAGTACGTAGGTCACAGGTCACAGAGGTCAACTTATGAAATTCCTTGTATTGAGTTTGTTAGCGCGATATCTCAAGAACCATTTGAGATTTAAACTTCAAACTTAAGGATAGTATGTATCACCATAGGAAGACGATCTGATTAGATTTTGGAGCACGTATGTCAAAGGTCAAGGGTCACAGAGGTCAACTTATGAAATTCCATACATTAAGATTGTTATCATGATATCTCAAGAACCACTGGAGATTTAAACTTCAAACTTAGTGATAGTGTGTATCACTATACACCGATTCGGGCGACTTCTGGTCGAAGTGCGCCCTCATAAGGTGACGCCATAACTGGGGGGCGTCTGACTGCAGCTAGCTAGCTTACATTGCATAGCAGCGCATGCAAAAGCGCAGCGTGCGAAAATATATGCAAGAAAATTAAGCACTGACGTAGCTAGTAACCGCTCTCGAGCTCTCTGTACTGTCAGCTGGATCGGAGAAGCCCCCCAGTTATAGCGCCGCCACCGGCGGGCAGGTACATAAAACCCCCAAACCGAATCGGTGTATAGGAAAACAATCTGATTACATTTTGGAGCACGTAGGTCAAAGGTCAAGGGTCATAGAGGTCAACTTATGAAATTCCATACATTGAGATTGTTATCATAATATCTCAAGAACCACTGGAGATTTAAACTTCAAACTTAATGATAGTGTGTATCACCATAGGAAGACAATCTGATTAGATTTTGGAGCACGTAGGTCAAAGGTCAAGGGTCACAGAGGTCAACTTATGAAATTCCATACATTGAGATTGTTATCGCGATATCTCAAGAACCACTGGAGAATTTTCACTTCAAACTTAATGATAGTATGTATCACCATATCATAATATCTCAAGCTTACTTCAATAATACTTCAAACTTAATGATAGTGTGTATCATAATATCTCAAGCTTACTTCAATAATACTTCAAACTTAATGATAGTGTGTATCACCATAGGAAGACAATCTGATTAGATTTTGGAGCACGTAGGTCAAAGGTCAAGGGTCACAGAGGTCAACTTATGAAATTCCATACATTGAGATTGTTATCATGATATCTCAAGAACCACTGGAGATTTAAACTCCAAACTTGTTTAAATTGCTCTATGGCGGAGGCATCATTTTCGACTGCGCGCAGTCAAAATTCCATCTAGTTTTCTCTGTACTTGTTCATCAAAAACCTGTCTGACAGGACAAGCGACTAGGTGGGAAAGTAGTCTGGTCTTAAACAGATTATGTACTAATTCTGTTTTAATTGCCTTCCCTTTGATTGTTCGTTAAACAAAACTTATCTTATAGAACAAGCAGCAAGGCGAAAGAAAGGGTGTGGTATTACACAGACAATGTACTAATTTTGATTTGCTTTCTCTTTGCATGTTTATCAAACTCTTGTCTCATAGAACAAGCAGCGAGGTGAAAGAGAGCGTGTCTTGAAAGGGCTTCAGAAGCGCATCGTCGGTTGCCCCAGTCTTCTAGAGGCCAACAGGTTCCTGGTCCAACAATTAGAGACGGTTGCCCTGATGGAGTCAGTAACCCACGGCAAGACCAGTGAATCCAAAGGGTGAGCACGTATTCTGTGGGTGACCCTACATTTTCTGGCGAAAGTTGGGGTTATGGTTAGGGTTAGAATTGGGGATGGGTTTTGGGTTAAAGGGATCGTTTAACAATGTTAAATCTGAGATGCACGGCCCTACGTGTTATTAGTGATTGTGATATAGTGTTATATTAAAGCCCTACAAATATTGCGCTTCAAAATGATCAAGAAGTGCCTCAAAAAATTAAAAACCTTTGAGTAACCAGTTTTACCATAATCGTTTTTCCCAATAGACTGTAGTGTTATGAAATCCGTTTAGCAAATTCAAAATTCGAATTTGATTGTCAATCATACATATCTTGATAATCAGACAGACGTTGGGCTTGTAAAAGTCATGGGGTTCCTGACTGACCTAAAGGTATATAATTATTATTGCAGCATGAGCTAAGACTAAGTTATCGGATCCCTTTAAGGTTAGTGTATAGTGTTTTATCCAGGGCTGTAGTTAGAAGTGGTTAGGATCAGGGTTAGAGGTTTGGGTTAGGGTTTTGTTAGGGGTTAGGGTTTCGGTTTGTTTTAGGATTGGGGTTAGAATTTTGGTTAGTGAAGGAAATTTACCATGAACTGACCAACCAGACAAAATAGGTTAGGGTTGCAATAGACGGGTTTAATAACATATTCAAAGTTAATGTATACTTTCTAAACAAAGAGTGTTCTAGACAACCTGAAAGCTTGCCCAAGTCTTACCTGATATATCAACAAATAATGTATGCAGACTTAATAATAAGTTAATGTTTTACCTCATCACCAGATCCCAGGAAAGTAACATTATTTGAATATATATTAGTAATATAACTTCATCGTTATTCTGACATTTTCATTTGCAGGCCCATGAAGCATGTGAATGACCTTTGCCTGTTTCTGTTCAACGATGCTCTTGTCGTCACCCACGAGGGCTCCCGTCATGTGCCTTACACCCGCCGCTCGGAGACCTTCTACAGGTTCATGGTGGCTCTGAGTCTGACAAGATTGCAGGTTCAGGATGTGCCAGATTCCAAATGTAAGTCTACCACACACAAGTGATGATGAAGGAATATAAAGATAATAACAGATTACAGAAAAAACCCTGTGCACTTTCATTTCAAGATTTTAAACTTGCAATTTCTATTGTCAGAAGAAATATTTGGAGCTGACATATTTCAATATCGTACAGTTGAAGATTCAGATTGGTCCATTCCTGGGTCAAATTTGCTCACAAACAGTATAATTAGAGTCAATACATGTAGTTGCAGGAAGTATATGTATTTTTCATTTTAAAAAGTTGAATTTGCCTGTTAAAAGACATATGAATAGACTTGCCTCTTTTTGAGATTTTAAAATGTAATATTATAATTGGGGTGAGGAGGCTCATCCCTGCCTAAGAAATTCCATACTGCTATGGCCAATGTACCAGATACTATACAAAATGTCATAGCAAATATGTGTACCATACCACACAGATTCTTTATTTCATTTTATTCTTTGCCATATACCCTTTCCAATTTTTGTTGTTGTATGTATTGTCTTTTGTGAAGACTGGTTTACATGTACATGTATGCTAGATGTGATAATCCAGCCCTTTTCTGCCCTTTTCTCTCTACAATGTACAGATGTCCAGCATGCTATCCTGTTGATTTCACCGAAGAAGAGGCTGCTGTGCTCAGCCGAAGACTACTCATCCAAGGTGGCCCTCCTCAGCATACTGGAGGAAACGATTCGAGCTGCTTTAGATGTGGACTGAAACAATAACAACAATGACAACGGCAACGCCAACAACGGCAACATGAACAACAACATTCTGTGTAGCCTGGTACATCCTCAATGCTTGTAAACTTTTTATGGACACATCACCACCCCTGGTCAGGGAATCCAGGGTTTCCTGTACACCTTGTGTTCACCCCTCCGCTCCCTGGGGAGCATTCCAGCAAGTTGTCTTTTTAGAGGAGCACACAATGCTGACCCAACAACAACTTATGGTGCTCACATCCTACCCATTAAACACCTGGGTGGGGAGAAGCAATATACATCAAGTGCCTTGTGCCGCAATGCCTTAAGTGCACCTCCAGTCGACTCTTCACCCGCTTGGCCCATGTAAAGGATCAAACGGCGGACTGCCACTGTCAAATTTTGTCAAAAGATCAATGTGCGTGTCTTACAATCACCAAATAGTGTCTAGGGTTTCATTCTGCAGGGAATACAGAGTTAAACCACTCAATTATATCTCTACAGTATACCGTAGTGCCTTTTCAACTGATGAAACTGCTTAGATGGTATCCTCAATACAAGTAGTGCCTTTGATGCTGATTATTTAGAGTTGCAAATCTGCAAATATTGTAAAACGCATTAAATTAAGTGGTGGTTATTTTACCTGACTGCTAAGAAAGCGTGAATGCTTGTAAGGAAGAAACCAGAGGACCGACGGCTTTAGGTCATCTCCGAGGGACAACTGCAGTAAAGGGAATTGTCAACAGTATCGTGCCTTTAAGAATGATTTCCTTGATGCTTGCATTGCATTGTTTTGTGCAAGTACGTTAATTACCTTCTTGGACTAGATGCATCTTTTTGATGTTGTGGCTTAAAGTGTACCAATCTCTTGAAAAAATAAATGATGTATATCTAGAATTTTTAAAAATCAACCTAAGGAAATTTTACCTGGCATTCTATAGTTAAACAGCTAAGGAGTTTGAAGAAAATAAGGATAACATAAAATCCCAGATGTAGGGCTCGCACGGAACCCAAGTCGGACTTGAGTCCGAGGTATGCTGTAGTAATTAGTTGTTGCTATGTCGGGCATGCGTCAGGCAATGCATTTTAGTCGTCAAGAGAAAGTTTTGTTTGAAACGCATCTATGAAAGTAGTAAACGGTTCTATTGAACTAGGCATGGATATTTATTATATTATACAATGTATAACAGTTGCTGATGATAAAATTGTGCAGATCGAGTGCCAGAGTGGATGTGCCTTTTAGCATTCCTAGTATTGTTCCAACTTTCAACAGAGGCTGCCTTTTGTACAATAGGGTACATTACGTAACATGTACCATATTACAGGAAACATTTATGTGTGTTCAATAGCCATAATCAAACATGAGCTTGACAAGCTCTTCCCTTTGAGTGGTATATCAGTCAAAGTGAGGTACATTCAGACACAATTATCTTCAAGACACTAATTTTTTAGGGCACAATGTGCAAAATTGTTAGTCGAGACATCTGATCTTCAGTATTCCACGCCAGAACCACCTCAGATTGTAATCATTTGTAGTTAATTATGATAAAGGCATTGAACATCACCGATCCGACCTTTTCATGATATCCTGAACATGTAAGAGCAAAGTTATGGAGGTTTATAAAAAGCGGATACAAGTGTTGTGTCTGTTATGCTTCGATCATTTGAGCTATTTCAAGGAAATGCGTAATCAAATTATTTTACACCATGTACAGTACAATGTATAGATGTTTATAGTATGATATTATAAGCTTCTATTCAAAAGAGGCTTAAAACATATTTCTAGTAACTAAATATGATTGATCTATTTTTATAAGGCTACTTTAAACATATTTCTAGTAACTTAAAAAAAAAAAAAAAAAAAAAAAAAATTAACTATTTTTATAAGGCTACTGGTATGTATTTCATGTTTCTTCACTCTATGTAAGTACTATGGTACTTTGTTTTTAGTGCTCCTAAATGATCAATTATTATTAATACCTAAACTAGATTCATTGACACCCCAAATCACTTTTTTTCAACCTTAAAACCATCCATTTTGTGTAACGTCTGTTAATTGTTACAAAGTCTGTTTTCTCTTTGATCATTTAGTGGAATACAATTGAACCTCGTCTTAAAGAGCCGATTTTGCTGGTCCCAGCTCTATGTATATATACATATATATTTTTTTCAACCCTGATCTAACAAGATTCCTGATATAGCAAGGTAATTTTCCTTGGTCCCAAAGAGCTAGTTATAATGAGGTTCCTCCGTACTGTAAAAATTGGTATTTCGCTGATAGTCGAACGTGTCTCAATCACTGACTGAAATATGTTTTAGAACTCTTAAATTTGTTTAAAACTGTCTTACATACTAGCAAACAATTGTTGTAAATAACATGTCAATGGAATTGCCATGTACTAGATAGATATTTACACTTGTCCATTAAGTTAGAATAAATTTTGTCTAGATAGTGACAATATGATATATTCTGGATAGTACATGTATTTATATTCTCAGAAATTGATTGATTAATCTAAAGAGTCATAGAGATTGATCAATTAAATTTGTATGCCTTCGTTACGAAGTAGCCGGAGGCATTATGTTTTCGGGTTGTCCGTCCGTCCGTACGTACGTACGTCCCGTTCTCGGATTCGCGTTATCTCAAGAACCAATTGATGGATTCCTACCAAACTTTAATAATGTATGTAACTTGCAGAGCCAATGCACTGATTAGATTTTGGGGTCACGAGGTCAAAGGTCACAGGGGTCATTATGTATTAAAAAATAGCTTGTGATCGCATCATTAGAACAGATGGACAGATTACCATGAAACTAAGGACATGTAGGTATCTTGCTGAGGCAATGAACTGATTAGATTTTGGGGTCATGAGGTCAAGGTTAAAGGTCATGGGGCTCATTATGTATGCAAAAATAGCTTGTGATTGCATTATCATAAGAACCGATGGATGGATTATCATCAAACTCAAGACATGTATGTATCTTGCATTTGGGGTCATGAGGTCAAAGATCAAAGGGTCATACATGTATATGAAAAATAGCTTGTAATCACGATATTCTGAGAACCTGTTAATGGATTACAACCGAACTTGAATTTGAAAAATTTCTTTCGTTTTGGTTTGTAAAATTGCTCTATGACGGAGGCATCACTTTCGACTGTCCATCGAAGTTCCATCTAGTTTTTTTAGATATAAACCTTATCTAAAAAGAATAAATCATGTCACAATAATTAAAAAACATTATTCTAACTTTATGGACAATAGTGTATCAATGATTTATTTTCATGTATTATGAAGATAAAATCAGTTTGCTGTGAATTCATATTAGCCCAGTAGACAGTACCAAATATGATGTACATGACCTGGAAAAGTTGTTAAGTACAAGGTTTTTTTGTTGATTCATGTTCTAGATGGGTATTGAGGTAAATTCAGATTGGTTGCCATCTTGGTAACCTTGGACAATTTGTTATATTAGCCTAATTAGCATATGTGCAATATGTAATATGTTGCTAATCTTAATCCAGGAAGCCTAAAAATATGGATAATTTTTTCTTTTAAGGATTTTCTATGACAAAGAATTCATTTATGACACCACTTTTTATTTTTAAGTAATGCAATTGTCTTTAATGGCACAATTAGCATAATGAGCTAATTTCCATATGTACAATGTATGGACTTCATTTTCATTGTTTATCTTGAAAGCCTGAAAATGGTGCAATGCAACATTGTAAATCACTTGTTAAAGACAACACATTGATTCATGAAAAGATGTTCCATGTAAATGTAGTATAATTAACCTAATTAACATAATTGGTACATTTGCATTTATTGATATAGGTCTAGTTTTATCTGGTATGACAATTTTAATGTGTATTTTTTTTATGACAACCAAAATTTATCTCAGAGGTCAATCATGTTGAAGCGAAAAAATAATTAGCTGTACTAGCATAATTAGCAAATTAATCAGGCAATTGCCTAATGGCCTTGTGGATTTCTGTCTGTCGAGACATAATACGGTAGGTATTCATTTTAAATTTCCCGCTGGACAGTGATAAGAGCAGAATAAACAGTCATGACAGAGACCAGTATGTTATCAAAGATAGAAAGATATTGGTTTGGGTCGACTGAAATATGGTTATGGTAGCAAAGTTTATTTAGGTTGTTGTTCTTTTGTTCTTTTTCCTCTTTGAGTTAGGTATTGGGGACAGAAAATAAGAGAATTTCTTGTTTCTGTTATCTGGACATATTAGTACTTTGCAATCTAACAGTGCTTATACTCAGATACATAGGTAATGAATTACAAAGTTACAATCCTCGCCTATTTAATCTAACCTCAGCGGAACGAAGGTTGCAAAGTAGAATTCACTCAAGTTCTTCTTCGTCTAGAGAGTCTTTGTTAATGTCTTCATCTTCTCCTCCACCTTCTGACTTGTTTGGATTGCAACAGTTCACTCCTGACTTGCAGTTGCAGTACACAGAGCAAGACAATCTCTCACAATGACAGCATTCTCATCCTCTCAACGACCGCGGTGACTGCTTATACAACTTTGTAACTGGACAAATTGCCTCCCTCGAAATTAATGTTGAAGAAGCACTTAGTATTGTTTGTCCTTGAAACTCCACCTCTGCATTAGGACTGCATCAGGACTCTGCATCAGGACTCTGCATCGTCCGTAACCACTTCTTAGACGGTTGAGGCCTAGCCAAAAAGGCCAAATCTCACTGGAGTCGGATGCGAGGGATTCCTTGGGGTTGAGGGAGAGGTTATGTGGAGGGGTCTGGAAGTGGTTAGAACAACCTCAATAGGTCATCCTTTGGTTGTGAGGGTTGGTATTCAAGGGGCTCTACAGTGTTCAGGCAACTGTGTCTGGCTTTCAGCCGCTTGCCCACTGGCTGTTATTGGAAGATTTGGCGGAGCGGATCTTTTTCTTGTTTGTCCTTTTCTTTCTGGGACAAGACCAACCTTCTGATGTGTGATGGAGCTATACCGCAAAGCAGGTAGAGGTCTTTTACTTTTTAGTTAGCTTAAGGCAACCAGTGAAAGCTCTGCAGGATGAATTTAGAGTTGGTTTAATCTTGGGTGCATGGGCAGACCTATTCCATACTGGTGATGCATACTCCGCAGCAGGAGAAGCAAAGCAAGGGCTGTTGTCCAGAATGTCCTGACATCAGTCCTCTTGTAGCCTAGCTCTTGTAGGTAAGGGATTGATCCAGTGTGACGCCTAGGTAGACTTGGTTGTGAGTTGCTTCAGCTATTCCCATATCAGCTGATCCTTAGCCGAGGGTTGGCATCCCTGTTCTTGAGGTAGAATGCACTTTAATATCTGAATTTTGTCAGGGTTAGCTCCCAGGTGGTTGGTCGCATAGTATGGGATGAGTCGGGCCAGTGCATCGTTGAGGGACTCCTCCAGCTTCACGAAAGACTGGTTCTGGGTGGTGATGCAGAGATCATCAGCATAGATGAAACTCCAGGGGGGTGTTTCACAAAGATCCTAAGTTGAACTTATCTCTAACTTTGACTTAACAATTATGGAAAGCTGTTAGCATAACAAATATTTTGTAAAAATCATTTTATAAGGCATAAAATGTTGATTCACATCATTCATATTTTCTATTATCTTGGGAGATTTCATGTTCTCGATGTGGAATTTATGAAAAATCTAAAATACTTCAATTTTGCTTTTGAATGTATTTCATTATAAGGCTACAAATGGCTCTCCATAATATTTAAGTCCAACTTAGAGTTAAGTAAGACTTAGAATCTTTGTGAAACACCCCCCAGGTGTTTGGATAGATAGATCGGTTGGTCGTTCGTGTACAAGTTAAAAAGCAGTGATGCAAGTACACTTCCTTGTGGGAGGCCTTTTTTGGGGCATAGTGTGATCAACCTCGGAAAGATCGTCTTCACGTCGACTTTGGTTCCCTTCTTCATCATCATCTCCATGGTCTTGACAGGACTGCTTACACTGGTGTGAAATTTTTCAGGCAGGTTTGAGATGAATTTGGTCTTCATCTGTCTGCCAATGCTAAGTGCTTCTTCAACATTAATTTCAAGGGAGGCAATTTGTCCTGTTACAATGTTGTATAAGCAGTCACCGCGGTCATTGAGAGGATGAGAATGCTGTCATTGTGAGAGATAGTCTTGCTCTGTGTACTGCAAGTGTAAGTGAGAAGTGAACCGTAGCAATCCAAACAAGTCAGAAGGTGGAGGAGATGATGAAGACATTAACAAAGACTCTCTAGACGAAGAAGAACTTGAGTGAATTCCACTTTGCAACCATCGTTCCGCTGAGGTTAGATTAAATAGGCAAGGATTGTAACTTTGTAATTCATTACCTATGCATCTGAGTATAAGCATTGTTAGATTGCAAAGTACTAATATGTCCAGATAACAGGTACAAGGAATTCTCTTAATTCTGTTCCCAATACTTAAACTCGAAGAAGAAAAGAACAACATTCTAAATTTACTTTGCCACCATATATACCATCTTTCAGTCGACCCAAACCGTTTCTCTCTATATCTTTACTAACTTACTGAGTCTCTGTCATGACTGTTTATTCTGCTCTTATCACCGGTACAGTGGGAAATTAAAAATGAATACCTATGTATTCTGTCTTGTCGATGATTAGGTTAATTATGCTAGTAAAGCTAATTATTTTTCGTTCGATACGATTGACCTCGTCATAAAAAAAATACATATTAAAATTGTCATTCCAGTTATGTCTTGATAAAACTAGACCTATATCAAAATATGCATATTACTAATTATGTTAATCTACGAATGTGTTGTTTTTAAAAGGTGATATTTATAATGTTGCATTGCACCATTTTTAGGCGTTCTAGATGAACAATGACAATGAAGTATATCGTACATATGGTATGCTGATTAGCTCATGATATTTAATTAAGACAATTGCATTACTTAAAAATAAAAACTGGTGTCACAAATAAATTCCTTATAAAAAAAAAACCTTGAAAAGTAGTATTATCCATGGTTTTAGGCTTCCTAGATTAAGATTAGCAACATGACATATTCCACATATGCTAATAAAAAAATATTGCCAAGGTCAATCTGAATGTACCGTCTAGAACACGAATCAACAAACCTTGTACTTTACAGTTTTTCCAGGTCTGAAAATTCATTGATATTATATATATACTCAAGCGTGCTATATATTTATGCAAAACATTCCAGTATTAACTATTTGCCTTTTCTACAGATGCCATCCTAATCAAATGAAATAATTGTTATTTAGCTGCTTTTTTGTGTACCTCGTAATTTGAAACATCGTGATCAAATCAATATATTCAAATTGTATCATTCCATCAAACATATTTTCGTTGTCGTTATTTATCTGTGAAACATTTGTTTGAGTGAAAAAGCAGAAAACTGCCATCACAAAATTCTTAAATACAGTTGTACGTATATTTTTGGGTAAAAACTATACATTGCTTTCTCTTTACTCTCCTCTCTCATTTCTCTTTTATTTCACTTTCCCTCTTTTTTTGCTTCTTCCAAGTACCCTCTGGTTGATATTCCACCTCTGCAATCTTCACTCTCGCTCCCACACTTAAAGGTCCAAGTCCACTCCAAAAATAATTTGCTTTTATAGATGCAGAAAAACAAGAAACATCGGATAACTAATAAGTAAGTTATGATTTTTTAAAATAAAAAACTATGGAACTTAAAAAATCACTGCACCAATTGCCAATTTGGTTATCAGTTTGTGACGGCATTGCCTCAATATTTGCCAATTGCTTTATATATTTTGATTTAACTGAAAAAATTACTCTTATATTAGTGCATCCACACAAAAACATGGGAAAATTGGAAATTTATATCATCAATATAAAGAAAATAATTAGTGGATAGTGAGACACAGACTCATGAGTGAGTTGCCAATTTGTCTTGTGATTTTCAAAGTTTTCATGTCATTAAAAATTCATAACTTATTACTTATCCGATTTGCTCAAACTTTTTTTAATTGGTTTGTCTGACTATTGAAATTAAGATTTTTTGGAGTGGACTTGCCCTTTAATACCTTCTTCAAGTTTTCTGAACACGTTTCTCCCAACATAAGACACTTGAAGACACAAACCATACACAAAGGATGGAGGGGTAAAATGTTAAGACAGAGTACTGAAAATAAATGAGTGGGGAAAAAAAGAAAGTAAGGAGAGAGGAAAGGACCTGAGATACAGGATGATTTGTGCAACATGAAAATAAGTATCAGTATATGAATCAGTTTACGACATGAATCACATCTTAAATAGTTTATTGTCCATAGACATGTGTTAGAAAATCATAGCAATAAAATTGAAATCATAAGTCGTAAGATCACATTTAACAAATGCACATAATACATTCCCGATATGGCTCAAGCCCAACGCACACTACACGATGTTCCTACGATCCGATTTTTTGATAAATGGAAATTGTATTACATATGGAAATACATGTATTAAAAAAAGAAACCTTCCTGATTTAGGTTCTGAATTATGCTAAGAATACTAAGAACCAAAGTCTTAGGACCTGAGGGGGATTTGTGCAACACGGAAATGAGTATCAGTATATGAATCAGTTTTAAATAGTTTATTGTCCATAGACATGTGTTAAAAAAATCATAACAATAAAATTTGAAAACATACGTCGTAAGATCAGATTAAACAAACACACATAATAGATTCCCTTTTACAAAACAAATCACAAGATGCTTGATATAGCTTCAGCCCGCACACTACACAATTTTCTACGATCCGATTTTCAAAGAAATGGTAATTGTATTACATATATGGAAACACATGTATTAAAAAAAGAAATCTTCCTGATTTTATTTAGGTTCTAAATAATGATGAGAATACTAAGACCCAAAATTTGAGTGCTTTGAAGTCTTGTCAGAATAAAGAAATAAAAGCCGAATCGGCTTCCAGTCGAGACGATCACACTGACGTCACTTAGATTCTGAGCCGATTGAGCTTATCCTCTTCCATGAAAGCGTGGACTACCTTGAAATCTAGATTTTCTAAATCACATGGCTACATGTAATCAGATCCTCAATCATTAAGATTTTTGCATGTTTGAATGTTCTGCACATTCTTCAAATAAAATTGGATCGTAGTCAGATCGTATAGTGTGCGGTTGGCTTTCGTGGCCGGGCAACTGGCACGGCATGACAAGATCAATAGAACATATGTATTATGTAAGCCTACATCAGAAAATTACATTAGAATACACTTTTGGCAATTGCGGTTGTCCCATCTACATGTATTGATGTTCCAACAATTACATAATCATTAAAATTGTTTGCATATTACAGCAGGTACCATCTCTAAGATTCGGTAGGACCTCATGAAGATATTATATACAAAAATGCATACATGAACATTGCACCTATACAAAAACATGAAGAGATTTTTGTAAAATCTTTACATTACATTGACGTGATTATAACAATGATTTATCGTTGCATGTTGCCGCATTCAATGATATACGCACCTATGTTCACACAGTTTTAGCTTTGCTTTTACACAAGACAGATCATTATTTCACCTAAATATTTATCATCATATATATATATATATATATTTGGTCTTGCATTTCACGTATAAAAAATAAAATTAAATCATCACGGTGGGTACTCTAAATTATGATCCATCACATATCATTATTAAAGGCATTGTTTAACAATGTTGACAGTTTCGCATGGCCCTACAGTATGTGTTATCAGTGTGATATGGTGTAATATTAAAGCCCTAACAAAATAGCGCTTCAAAATGATCAAGAAGTGCCTCAAAAAAGTATAAAATCTTTGAGTGACCAATTTTACCATAATCATGTACCCCCAATAGACTGGGAAATCGTTTTTTGAAATATCTTGATAATATGGCAGGCAATCGGCTTGTAAAAGTCGTGTCCATTATCTATTATCAAGTCTATTGGGGAAAATGAGTATAGTAAAACAGGTCACTCAAAGAAATTTACTTTTTTGAGGCACTTCATGATCATTTTGAAGCACATTTTTTTAGGGCTTCAATATTACACCTTTTCACAGACACTGATAACACGTAGACCAGCCGGGGCCATTCATCTCAGATGTAACATTGTTAAACGATGCCTTTAACATGAAGATAATGATTGAATTAGATTTGATTGATTTGCAATTTTCTTTCCAATCCAAAACTGCATAAAATCAATGAAGTTGTTACTTTGTCTCCTTTAGCATGTGGACGATTATGAGAAAACATGTACTAGAGAGAGTCACGGCAAGAGGTGGTGGTGGTCAGACTTCGACCCCCCCCCCCTCCCCCAATTAGGCTGAGAGAGCATCAAAATTACCCAGCCTTTTTTAGAGTTAACTTAAAATAAGATGACAAAAGCGTAATGCGCCTCACATTTCTGTATCTTATTATAAAAAATAATATTCATCATGTACCAGTTGCCTACATGACCCATGACCCATGACTCATGTTTTTTCAAGTTTGGGAAAACAAACAGTGTCCAAACTCAACCTTATTTCATGTGAGGCCATTCTATACGTGAGCAGCTGGATGCGTTTTTTCTCGCAAAATTGATGAACTAGCCGAATGCAGCCTCGGCCAAAATGCTGATATTTTTTTCTTCTTCACTTTGTTCAACATTTTACTTTTCGTTCTTATCAGTGATACATGTATAAGAAGGTATTGTAAATTAAAATGAAACATCAATAAATTAAATAGAATAATATAATGTAAAATGAAATATATAACAATTCTAGTGTAAAAAGAAGATATATTCACACTTGTGTTTAAGATGTAATAAAAAATTTATTCAAACTATGTCAATGAATATCATCAATAAAATTAAAGAGTACTTTGCAACTTTGGGATCTGAAATTCTTAAATGAAGACTGATTTGATTGGGCAGAATGATTGCCCTATTTCAGTACCACTTTCTGTAGGGCTATGCAAAGACCTACCTATTAAAGCCTGTCTGCACTAGTTTGGCCAGGAGGGATTAGACCCAGGCACCCAGCATGGTCACTGACAGGTGGTTAACTCATTAACTCAGCTCTCAATGAACATAAGGAAAAGAGGATCACGGGGGACCAATTGTTTTCTATATAGAGGGAGCAAGTAGCTACAAGTAGTGCAGTGTGGCTATAAATGACAGGTATTCTTTCTCTTCAAACTATATGTCCTCATTCTAATGTTTTACCATGTAAATGAGAAATACCTACGGGAGTAGTCCATCCCCCGAAACCTTTCTCCAGTTCTCTCGCTACGGCGATCGTCAGGTGATCACAATACTTGTTACCCACCACCTGCACCCCAAGCGGTAACCCGTTGGTGCTGAGTCCCAGAGGTACCTGAGTCACGGGAAAGCCCAGAGCATTGAAGATAGCCGTGTAAGCGACGTTGAACGGGTAGAGGATGGGTGCGTTGTGGAAGAGCGCCATCTTGGGGTGAGAAGGGTAGAGGAGGACGCCGTTGTCGCCCAACATGGTGGAGATCTCGTTGCGGAGTTTCTGACAGGCCTTGAGAAGCTTCTCCATGTTACCTGTTTAATAGAATTTAATTCAGTTTACTTAGTGTTCAGTTTCATTGAATTAAGTTTACTTCAGTACGGTGCAGTTCAGTTCAGTTCCGTTTCATCAAGTTCTGTGCTGTTCAATTTGTTCAATTCACACCAGATACAGTTCAGCTCAATTCAACTACCTTCATTTTAATTCAATTGAGTTCAGTTCAGTTTATATCTGATCTATTTTTATTTCTGTTCAACTCACTTTCACTTGATGGAATTATGTTCTCTCAGATTAAATTAAATTATGGTCACTTGAGATGAAATCAAATTTATTTGTTCAATGTCAAATGAAGAACAACACGTACAAAGTATACAAAATAGTCTTGCATTTCCACAAAAAACGATACTTAAAGTGACTTGGTAACATTGTTGAAGGTTGATGAAAAAAATTGCTTAATTTTTGTATAAAATGTTACTTACTATATTCCTTCTACTGTAATATCCCTCTGACATGCAAAAAATCCTGAAAAAATTCTCAAACCACAAAGATATCTATGGTTTTCTTTGAAGGCGTGGATGTAAGACACCCTCTAACAGTGATTAACAGTAAATTCTCACAACCATATTTGAATTTTCCCCAACCGTTTTTCGATGAAAAAAAGACATAAAACATGCTATAAAAAATCTGTCAACACTTAAATGTCTGGAATGGAATGTAGAGCCATTTTATTGCTTTGTGACGATTTCCATTCACCTAAAATGTAATTAAATTGCAATAATATAGTTGGGAGAATTGAGGAATCGATCAGATCAGTTTTTCCCAATTTGTACCATGAATAATGGTCCGTTTTCACTCAAATTTTCAGATTATCTTTAATTGTACATTTAGCATTGAAGTCAATACCTTAGCACCACTTTCTCTCATCTTAACAATGTTACCAAGTCCCTTTAAAGAAACATAAAATTTAAACCTAAAACTGGATTTAGACTTTCGTTCAAAATGGTGTTTCACAAAGGAAGTCAGTCTGAGAACCAAGGTTTCCTTTTGTTAACTCATTATATACCCAGGGTCGAGTGGAACTGTATTAGAAGAATATGGAGCAAAGAGTTCTGCAGCATGTTTTAACAAGTGTAATAGTGCGACAATGAGGTTAAGTACACTGATATCTAAATTGTTATCATTTAACCTACAGGGCCGGTATTCAATTCAATACTTAGAAATTTTGTCTTGTATTCAAATTTCATTCTAGACTTTTACCCAAGACAAAATCTAAGTAAAATACTTACTGATAAGCATTGTGACATCACACGGTCAATCAAAAGTAATGCGCAATCAATGAGTCGCAATAAATGCCCGCTAATATAATTGTGGGCAGGTTATGATACTGCGTTAGAAAACCATATGCCTGCCATTCAAAGCCTCCTAAAAGTCTGGTAGGGAGCTGTCTAATAAATCTAGGGTAAAATACTTAGCCAAAAGCTTGAACTGAATACCAAAATTGGCCAAGTATTTTATCAAAGCCAAATCCTAAGTAAAAACCTTAAATTTTGTAAATGTACTTTGTATTTTGTATCATCACGTATTAGTCAAAACATATTCTTGCACATGATTGGTAATAAGAGCTTCCATTTCATTTTTTTGAGAGGGAGGCGTTTCCAAAACTGGTTTATACCTTTAAGTATGGAATTGAATACGGGCCCATGCCCCCGAAGTAGAAAAGTCAACGCCTTACCTGGCATGACACGGTCAATGTTCTCTATCAAACCAAGGAGGATTGCTGGAAGGGTGTGGTCCGACTGACCGAGACAGCGTTTGAGGAGCTCGATGATGGGACTGACCGGGGCTCCGTGGTCACCCAACTGGCTGGTGAAACTCTCCTCGTCCGAAGCGGTCATCATCGCCGTCCACATACCCATGGAGTAGAAGAATCGGCGGTTAGTTGTGTGGGTCACCCTGATGTCCAGTTTCTCCTCGAGGTATTTTGCAGCCTAGGAATAAAGGAGGTCTTGATGAAAATAGGAAATTAGCACCATCTGTGATATTTTATGCTCATCGATATTGTGGATCAGCTCATTTCCATTACCATTGCAGTTATAAAATTTTCTCCATGACACATGTTCCAGCAACAATTGCTCAAAAATAAATATCTTACACAGACCCATTTCCAAATTTTAATCCTGGCCTTAACACAATACCCAACCCTAGTCGTAAATCTCACCTATCCAATGGCAATCCTAACCCTAAACCCTACACTTTTGAAAAAATAAAGCCTGGAGCAAATGTTGGGTCACCTTAATAAACCATTGAGTATTTTCTTTAGTACTAATTTCTTCCAGGAGGGACATTAGTTGTTAGGCTCTTCCCAAATTTCAGGCTAACCGTTAGAGCCCTGTTTGGTCTCTTATTCTGTAACATGTCTGGGCTTCTTTGTCTGAATAACTGTTAAACGATATCTATGTGAAAGTTGGTGGTGTGTAAAGATGCGTCCAGAACAATACCACCAGGACATGGAATTGGTAAACAGTCTTGTTTGTTCTCTATGTTAATTTAGTTTGCAACCAGGAAAGAAATCTTGTGTCTACTACAGCACTTTGTAGTCCTAATTGGCACTACATGCCACTATATAAATCTAATAATTAAATAAAAAAAGTATTATTGATAACATTTAGTTACTGTAAGCTGTCAACCAGACACAAGAACTTAAATTGTGTTCCATGTTCCTGTCACTATGAATATGACGGACAAAGAAAGCGGACAAAATATACAGTTCCTCAGGTAGACAAAGGAACATCTCTTCACTGCTATTATGTAAAAAGGTAAATATGCATGTGACACCTGTTCTAGTTTTTCTATTTTTACATAATAGCAGTGAAGGGATGTTCCTTTGTCTACCTGAGGAACTGTATATTTTGTCTGCTTTCTTTGTCAGTCATTTTCATAGAGTGTCCTGCCTGCAACAAATATTAAGAATTTCATTCCCATGGCTGTTAGTGCGTGCCTTTAAAGATAAAGACCAGTTACGGTCATGCGATTGCATTGTGAAAGAAACGATGTGAAATCGATCAGAAAAGGTTGATCATCTAGCATAGATGTACTGCAAGGTTCTGGAATCATCAGAATGATAAGAAATTTGGCCAAGTCTTCATAAAGTTACACTGTGCACAGAAAGATGTATACGGGACTACGCACACGTGTGCGACACATGCGTTTTTATCTCTCACATACCAATAGATAAACTAATTTACCAAATATATCAATTAGTAGGCGGTTTGCCGGCAAAATTTTTATCATCATGTATTATTCAAAACATATTCTTTCACATGATTGGTAATAAGAGCTTCCACTTCATTTTTTGAAATAGGGGCGTTTCCAATACTGGTCTTTACCTTTAATATATTACATAGAAAAACAGGCTAATACTTGTGATTGCACTATTTAAAGAGGTGATCGGACAATGTCTGATTTCAACGATTTATTCCAAGTCCATGCAGGAAAAACATTCAATTTCTGAAACTTGTTACAATGCAATTAAACTAGAATATAATGCTGAATTCTGTTATAATACATCAATTATTTGCTTATGAACCTGCTTGTGAACTTCATCCCTGATGGGGCTGACTCATGATGATGGTGATTATCGCTTAGAGTGTGGTAAATTAAGGTCTTAATTGGTAAATTAAGGCCTTAATTGATAATTATGGCCTCATAAAATGAAAAGTAGTGTTTCAATATGGGGTAATATTGTGTAACAACACAGCATTGTAAATATAAATAAATCAGCCATCCAATAATCAACATATCTTTTTTGGAGGTTAACTTAGTGCCATGAAAAGGGGGATTAAAACACCACCTTACTCTGAGTTGGGCATCTCTGAGCTCCGGATCCAAACCGGAAGCGAGCATCTTCCTGTCGTCTGTGCCCATGCTGAAATACTGGAGCGTTCGCAGGTCCACATGTTCGTCCAGTCTCAGTTTGGCCGTGCCATGCGGACCTGCCATAACCCTGAGGAGCGGGATGAGGTCAACAGAGAATCGGCACAAGGGACCGGTCACCATCAGCTCGTTTCCCTTCGCAGTGTGGACAGTCGGGAACTGACCATCATTAGTGACCACATCTACAGCGAAACGAGGAGATGTAGCACACATTTTAAATAATAATGATAATAACACAAAGCATTTATATTGCGCCATTTATCTACTAAAACTTTTCTGAGACGCATTATGAAATTAAGAAAGTCAGAGGGGAAAATTACAAAATAAGACTACAAAATAATAAAAATTGTGTTATCTGACATTCAGGTACTGTATGCTTTTGAAAAAAAGGACTGTCTTCAGGTTTAATAGACTAAAAGGAATTGAAAGTTTCTAAGGAATCAATAAGAGCTGGTAGTTGGTTCCGTAAACATGGACTTAAACGAATCACCCTATTCCTTTAATAGTAGGACAGGAGTTGTGTGTTCCGGACACTAAACAAAAGTAAAGTGTTGGATTTTCTGAAAAATATAATCGAGTAGCACTCATTACTACCATCAATATTCAGCCTGAATACGTTAACCTTGTATGAATTAATGCTTGCTCATAATGTTCTTTGAAATGATCTGTCCAGACAACCAACCTGTCCGATACACAACATGGGGGTAAACATGTATATGTGCTGCTTCCATATAGTGTGCTGTATGAGTTATACTCAGCGCATTATACGGCAGCAGCAAATTTACGAAGTGGCAGTCAGAGGTCAACACCATTGTGTAGAGATCGTAAAGTCGCTCTGGTAAGATATTTGCTATTATTTCGTTCTTTTTACCTCCGACTTTGAATTTCCGGAGATAATTAGGTGTAGAAGTGGCATAAAATTCATCGAGTGAGCCCTTAAGGCTAGTTGTGACAAGCATTCAACATTTTGTGGTTTGGCTCAGTAACTTTTGATTCAGAACCTTGAAAAATATACCGAATGCATGAAAAGATACGAAAAATATTTCTGCACATTATTGTGACCATTTTTGTTGTATGACCACACTGCGTTTGACCCTAGGAAATATAATATCTAAAATTCTTGACTTGGCAACATGCTGAGAGGTTCAGGATCATTGTTTCCAGTACAGGCTTTTGTTCGCAAAACAGACCGTTAAGCCAACACAAGAATGGAGCGAAATACGTTTTCTAATGCCAGATACTGTATATCTGTCTCCATGTTTTAAAAGAGTTGTCATGGAGCTAATCGAGACCAGAAAATGGGTAACTTTGCAAAGCCATTATATAAAAGTTGCAAAAAGCAAACCTTCCGTTTATTGGTACCTATAGCGTTTTGAAAAAATGTATGTGTAGAAAATAATACATAAATTATATTTATTGATTGTACGTACCTATACATTGAAAATAATCGAAAAAGTGTGGATCCCATTTTAATAAATTTGAATTCGACTCTATTCAATCATCATAGAACTACCATTGATCATTTACACTACAGCGTTAGTCAAAAGAGTAAACATTACCACAGCTGGGTTTGTGACCGAAAATGCCGTTGAAGAACGCTGGCATGCGAATGCTGCCGCCTATGTCTGCTCCTATGCCCATCACTGAACCTCCGGCTCCTATGATCGATCCTTCACCGCCTGTTAGAAAATCCAAAAATTTGTCAATTCCCAGTGGTGTAGCTATGGGAGAGAGTAGGGGGGGGGGAGGACATGTCCCTACCAATTAAATAGAAAAATTTAGGGAGATAAAAGAGGATAAAAGAGAGAGAGAGATGGGAGGGGAGGGAGTGCTAAAATAAGACACTACAACCACCTCCCATATAGGCTCATATGAATACCATTAATTTGTCTCATGTAAACGGTTATAACGACACAGCTTTATAAAAGAATCATGAGCACTTAAATAGTCAAAGATTTAAAGACCATGATGAGAGAAAAATTACTTGCCTTTCACTTGGTACACAAATCCAGAGCCAATCAATAACAAGATACAATACTTGTTATAAGCTAATAAAAAAAGTTAACACTTGATAGACTATGAGCAGATTTGCCATAGATCTGTGCATGGCACTTACTATCGATAACAAGTTTGATCAAACAGGGCCCAGCACAGCAAACTACGCCAGTTTGCTGGAGCAACAGCTTTAGCATTACCTTTTAGTGACATTCTATTGATTTTCTTTTGATCCAGAATGCTTTGAATTGCAGATTGTTCATGAGCTGAAAGTGCAAAAATCACAGGAAAGTTTGAGTTCATTTTTGTTGCGATACATTGTGCCGCCCATGAGTAAGAGCATTTCACCCTCACTGGAGAAAATCAGAAGAAACTGAAGTAAAGTAACCGGCTACGCAAAATCACAGACAACCAGGAACATACATGTATGTCACGCTTTGGAACGGTGAAGATGAGACAAAGCGGGAAGGAAACGGGAGACTGCTGCCACAAAAATGAGACGCCAACTAATGCCACTCTCTCCGTGAAATTCCAACAATTGTAACTCTATATGGGAACTCGATGAAACAGTCTTATGGAAAGATGGAAAACTTGGAAAAAGAGCCAGTTGCTAGCAAAAATTGCTGACACCTAAAGGGAAAAACGGGTGTGGCTACCCAGAGCTACCCCAGCTCGTGAAAAGAGGTCCTCTCAGTGTGAGAGCTGGCTGCAGACTGACTCCAAAACTGTATGACTGAACCAGCCCAGCCCACAACATAAAAGAATTTAGCACCTGTGTGCATGCCTAACATTGCAGCAAGAAAAGAACTAGGCTACAGAGCATTTAAAGGTAAAGACCAGTATTGGTAACGCCCCAATTTCAAAAAATGAAATGGAAGCTCTCATTACCAATCATGTGAAAGAATATGTTTTGACTAATACATGATGATAAAAAATTTGCCGGGAAACCGCCTACTAATTCATATATTTGGTAAATTTATTTCTCTCATGGTCGTGTGAGAGAGATAGGGTAGTCCCATATACATCTTTATGTGTATAGTGCTTGTAACTTTACGAAGAATGGGCCAAATTCTTATCATTTTGATGATTCCAGAACCTTGCAGATGCTAGATGCTAGATGATCAACCTTTTCTGATCGATTCCACAACGTTTCTTTCACAATGCAATCGCATGACCATTACTGGTCTTTACCTTTAAAAAGGGATAATAATTACCATAACAAAGACTGTCCTGGCTTAGGCTATAAAAAGAGACCCTGAAACATGGAAAATGATCGAGATTGTGACAGTCTCCAAGATAGCAATGCAGAGTGACATTTATAATCACTAATTTCATGTACAAATTACCAATTTTTTGTTGATTAATTGTAATTATCCAATATGCATTTATATCGTTTTAAAAACTGTGAAAGAATGGAAAACACTAAAAAATTGTTGCCAATTTGAGGAGGAAATGGAGACTCATTTCAGACCTTTAAAAAAACCTGAACTGAATTGCTATAGGTTAAAGGTACTATGTCCCATTTGCAGGCCAAAAAAATGAAAAAGTTAAATTCCAACTGCATTTGAAAGATAATACTAATTTAGAACTTCCCTAAGAAAGGTGGGGCTTGAAAATGTCTTCAAGTGGGAAAATAACAACTATAAGTTGTCAAATCGACTTTAGGGCTATAGAGCCCAAAAGTAATAGTCTTGATTTTCAGACAATTGTACCGAATGGTCATACGTTTTATGCTGCGCAAAGATTCAACCAGTTTAATCTTGGCCATCACAAGAAGTGGGTTATTGATGTAGACAAATGCTCATAGTGTACCCTTTACAACTCTTTTCATGTATGTTATTACCAAAGAAGAAAAAAAGCCAGTCAGTCACTCAATAGTGTCTGACAGTGAAGTCTAGCAAGTAAACGGGTTTCCTGGCATAATTTGAATATGAGGACACTGCTAAAGTTTAAATTTCATAGATAGGACATACATGACATATTCATAATTCCTGCAAAGTTCTACAGCATTTGAGGTTGGCTGCAAAAGGGACATAGTATCTTTTTAAAAAACCTGAATTGCTATAGGTTAAGTTCATTTCAGTTACAGATTTTGTTTTATTTTTCATTTCCAACAGAACGGTAATTTTGACAATAAATAATTGAACGTTCAATAACATAATTCATTCTACATGGTTTAAAGTTCTGAAACAGAAATTATTCATAAATAACCAGTTTAATGTTTTTTTTTAGAGTTTTAAGACCTGTGGAAATGGAGGGATCCACTAGAAAGAAGAACTGGTTAAATAATGACAAACATAATTCTTGTAACATGTAAATAATGACTTGAAAACAAAAAAAATATATACATTACCAAAAAGTAGCAGAATAATAATACAATTATAAATCCGTAATTTGAAAACTTGCTACAGCACGTATATAGTATAGTGAACACTGGAAAGGTCAAAAGAGACAGTGACGACTGACAGATAAAGACATAAATGTATAATAATAATTAAAACAATATTATATAAGACAAAAGAAAATAAAGCAAGGAAAGAGAGAAATGGAAAAAAGAAAATGTTGCTGCATATGTGAAGAGTAAAGAAAGAGAGGAGAGGTGGAGAGGAGAAGCAAGGAGAGAGAGAGAGAGAGAGAGAGAGAGAGAGCACACGATGTGCATACTGCAGGGGTAGTGACCATAATTATAGTAAGATACATACAGAGCGTAAACAAAGTTACCATACCTGAACTGCCCCCAACCATCCTCCTGATATCATAGGGATTGCACGTCCTCCCGTAGACGTAGTTAGCCGACTCGTACCACATGCACAGCTCGCTGCAGTTGGTCATTCCCAGTACAATGCACCCCGCCCGCTTCATATTAGCGACGGGCGGGGCGTCACGTGGGGCCGTCAAACCTTTTCGGTTCACGAGACCACTGGTGTTGGGCATACCTATATTAAAAGATAAGATTAAATTTTTCAAATTTTCATAGAATTCAACAAATTATCACATAATGAAACCTTAAAAGAAAAGACTGCACAAAGGAGACAAGAAAAGTGGTCGTCATAGACAGGTGGTCTACATGTACAGGCTCATAAAGTACAGATTTTAATAAGAAACAATATTAACAAGAAAAAAACAAGTTCATCTTTGTAGCGGTCACTGAAGCATAGAAGGTCATAAAGAATGGGACATAGCAATCTATTCACCTAGACAATACATATCAAATTGCCTATTCACGGCAAACTGCAGCACAATACAACTGCGTACCGTACCGACGATGGGGTGCAGGCGCACGCGCATGTGTTAGCGACTGTAATCTAAGCAATTCATCAATACGGTCACTAACTTAACACACGCCCGAACCTCAGCGTTGGTACAGTATGCAATTGTATTGTGCAGCAGTTTGCAGTGAATCCAGTGAGAAAGTGTATACAATAAGTCTTTGTTTTTAGAAAAAATACTCCAAGGTCAGAAACATGACAAATTTTAAATCATGACCATAATTTGAACGATTGATGAAGATTTAGTTGATTTTCGGTATGTTTTAGTAGGGTATCTCCACGCCGGAGTTCTGGGGCAAAGTCTGGACAGACTTCTGAACTAGCGCCCTATATTGATAATATTTACCTGTAACTTCGAATGCCTCCTTTACAGATATAGGCACACCAAGAAATGGGGCATTTTTCTGAGAGTATCTCTCAGGTACATCTCCCGACTGCAGCATCTTATCGACCTGCCTGGCTTCTGCAAGGGCACCGTTGAAGCGCTCAACAATCACGGCATTGAGAAGGTCGTTTACCTCTTTGATTCGTGCGATGTAGGCCTCAACAACCTGGGTGCAGGTAACCTGAAAATAAAGTGGAACCAAAATACAGTATAGCGTGGGGAAGTGTGATGTCATCAAAAATCTATTTTTGGAATTTCTCAATTTTTTCTTCATTTTCCAAAGAGCATCAAAAATAATGTTCGAATGTCGAAAACCAATTGAATATGTTAAGTATGGGCTGGTGAGGTTACAATTCTAGCCCCACTTCCCTAAATAAGTTGTGGAACCCTGCTCAACATTGTAAAGCAATGTTGTGGAATAAACTATCCGGTGTGAGAACTGTATCTCTGTATACTACTGTAGTTAGAGAAACTGTTTCAGTAGCACATGTATAACACTTATTATGTTACAAAGCATGGAATATGTAGATCACATTTTCCTATCTTTTTGAAGTGTTTTATCACTTTTTAAGTGGCCCGTATACTACACTCTGGGCCAAATCATGAGAGGCTTTGTAACTGCAAGGAAAATGCCCTACACTTGACCTGAAAACTCATGAATTTAACTGGATATCAAAGTTGCAAAATGATGAACAACAGTAAAAGTGCAATCACCTCTCTTGTCCTAATGCTACGTGCAAGGCTTGTGGCACTCTCGAGGAGAAGTGGGTTCCTGATGGCCGGGATCCTGGCCTTAGCACGGTCCCCGTTGATGATGAGAGAGAGCATACTGATCAGAAGATTCAGCAGGTAGTCCAAGAAGTTCCGTAGCTTCTTATAGAGGGACATCTCACTATCAGCACCTGTACAACTGATCATAGGAAAGACAGCGCAAATAGATTTAAAAGGAATTAAGCCGACTAATAACCTGAGAAATGAAAAAGTTGTGTCCAGCGATATAGGATCAGAAAAATAGAGAAACTCTCAGATGGCTTGAGCCAGCATCCATCCATCCGAGGCCCATGCTCCCTGCATGTGATCCGGCTGTATTCAATGCAACGTCCTCTACGATTTCAGAAAATGACATAGCAATACAAACAGAGTTACTGCGTGCGTGTCTGTCACACGGACTACAGCTACCGGTGACTATAACGTGCAATCGGATACTCTTAAGCTTGCGACTAATGAAAAATTCAAAACTGAAATTTTCTTGAAATCAACCCCATTTTTTTAATACCATGTTGCCTAGTTACCATGGACACATGTCTTAAAAGATGTGTATGTTCAACTTTTAGGAGCAGGACCGCAGGTAAGATCACTAAAACGTGACAATTTGTTGATACTTTTTTCATTGCTAAATGCTACTGCTGTTCGGGCGCGACTTTGGAATGTACCGAGTGTTTTACAGACATAAATAAAATACTGTGTTTATAGACATAATAATTATGAAGAATTCCTTAATAAAACTGACATTTGTCAACCCATATTATACTAGAGGCGATCAGTGGAGCCCCACATCATCACATGTTCTCAGCAGAATGTGTGTGTGTGTGTGTGTGTGTGATATGCTGCTGAGCATTTAAATTTTAAGATAATTTTGCAATGCACCAGCTGAAATGATAGCAAAATCCTTATACAGACTTTACTCTAATAGTACTTAATCTATCCACCCATCCTCATGAATAACTAACAATCCCCAAGGCCGTGGATTGGAGTAAAAATAAAATGGAAATAGACTAACTTTGGTCTGGATTTTGGAATGACTCAATCAATGACATGAATGATACGAGGGCTGTCAAATTGGGTTTTGTCTATAGTGTCAGCAAACTAAAACAGTTAATTACTCGAAAACATGTAGCGTCATCAATATCGTAATATTAGTATAGCGTTAACAATAATATAATATCATTCAGAATGTGAGATAGTACGACTAACTCCCGGGAGCTCCGACGCCGACGCCGGACAGACGGAGGCGGAGTTCCTTGGAGTTAGTACGATACATGCATATCGGCATGTGGGACCATAATTAATAAAGTGTTCTGGCGACAGAAAACACAACAGAGAACAAATAGGAATTTAGAAAATCAAACTACAACTATCAAAATTATAATTTCTTTCTTTGGGCGGATATAAAGTGCATAATAGCTTAGATCAATGGGTAGATTATCTTACCACAGATGACGAAAATACTTATAAAGTTACACGGGTCCACAACACTAGCGGTCAAAATGTTTATCGGCTGACGATCCCATGCATGACTGAGAAATTCACTTTAAAAAAAAAATTTGATGCATTTTACTTGACACGTTTTCCGTTTGCTTTCATTTTCCCTTCAAATAAGTGCCCCTTCCCCTTTCTACTATTCAAAAGTGCACGTTTCTAATAATTAGTACACGTTTTCCGTTTGCTAGCTTTCATTTTCCCTTCTGATCGATATAAGTGCCCCTTTAAGTGCCCCCTTTTCTATATTATTTAAGTGCAACCCCCCCCCTTAACTAACTACCTTCCCAGCTACCTTCCCTCTTAATAAGTGTAACCATAAGCGCCGGAAGTGGGAGGGGGCAGGGGGGGGCGGTTGCCCCCAACCAATAAAGTGGGGGGGGGGGGGGGAACGCATTTGCCCCCCCCCCCAACAACAACAAAAAAAGCAGTAAAGGAGCAAAGATGGTTTATATTTTTTTAACCCAAAAGAACATAATAATTATAACAACCTGAATTAAATCACATATAAAATTCCATACAATTAAAGAAAAGGAAAGTTAACAGGAATTAAATTTCCTAAACATTGCACATGCCACCTATATTTATCAATGGAGGTTTTTATAATAGCGATACGCGCATATCGTGGACATATTGTGAGAGAATGGGAAAGCGTGTATGTTTTTTGTTAAAGGGTCTAGTGGTGAGAAGACATGAGCCCCTGAACTTCTTCTAGTTGATCCCTTCACTATTTTGGAGATTCCTGGAGTCCCTCGCTCCCTCGCAGCACAGTCACATACAGGTTGGCACTTCAACTAGACATTTTTTTCGTTTTGGCACTTCGAATAAAATAGTTGAGAAGGCCTGGTTTAGATAATGAAGGAGTTTCAAACTCAAAGCAACTGCATATAATACCAAATACCTGCTAAAGATGTTTTTTTTCCCCATTATACTCATTCCCCCAATATCGATTACTATAGGCTCGCTCGCATGTATATAGTTTATCTCGTTAAGTAACATGTAAAAGGTCTGATTCAATCTATATTGATATTGTGCTACCCCCCCCCCCCCCCCCCCCCCCCCCGCTCCGGATTTTTTTTTATTCGATCTAACAATAAGATATAATTGGTCACAATGCGATCTCACAAATATTTTTTGTTGTTCTTCAGACCATCACACAAAGGCAAGTATAGTACTGAAGCAATATATTTCGGACCACATATAGAAACAAATCTAGAACACCAACTCCGACAATAAATTGATTACAATGTAGGGGTACATAGTTTACCAATGTCTAACAAATTATATTTTTCGCTTGTAGGTTACCCTTAAAGGTGCCCGTCTCCCCCAGAAAAAAAATCATTTTCTTGGTGCACTCCCACTTCGAAAGATGATTCACCGCCCCTGGATGACTACACATAATCATTTAGGTACAAAATAATCAAATGTTGGTCATAAACCTATTGTCATGATTATTAGTAGGTCCTATCTTTGGTCCTAAAGCACAAAATAATGCCTTTGGGATATGACTGTATATCTATCTGCTGCATCGTCACTCCTAATGTTGAACAGATTCCTGGACATTATCAACTTACGTGCATGCTACGGCCTATAGCATTCTTTCTTTGTGATCATAATGAAGCTAGTAAATGCAATTAAATGTGGGAAAAGAAAATCTGTTGTACTGTCAAAGCCTTGCCATCATGCCCCTGGTAATCTTGACTCAAGAAAGTGTCGAGCTAAGATTCCATTCAATAGAATCCTTAAAATATCAAAACTTACGAATCAACATACATCAGTAACTTCACAGATACAAGGCAAAACAATTACTGTTTAACCTAAATGGCATTTTACAATGTTTCTGTTTCATGGTATTCTATCTCCTTAAATTTTGTAATGAATTTTTGAGATTTGAATAAACATGGACCCTGGACTAAGCCATACTAAATACACAATTCTATAATCCTGATACTACTGGGCTCATTATTCAATTGATTCCGTTTGGAAATAATTATAGTGAGCAATAGGATGAAGAAAAAACCGTATCATGACAATTACCTCCCGGACAATAACCCCCGGGAACCCCCCCCCCCCAATGAAAATTACGCCTTAGGATAATTACCCCCCCCCCCCCCCGATGGACGATTACCTCCCACCCCTGAAATTTACCCCATAGGAAAATTACCCCCCCCCCCCCCGGACAAGCAATGACAACCAAGGACAACCAACCCGAGGATCGATCTTTTTCTGTTTCCGCACCACGTCTCTGGAACAATCTCCCTCAGGCTGTACGATCTTCTCCTTCTCTCGCTATCTTTCAACGTTCCTTGAAAACCTTTCTCTTTAATAGTTGAATTTATATATTTTTGTGTACGTAATTTTATTGTTTGCTATCAATGTCAATTAAGTAATGTAATGTTGTAAAGCGCTGTGATACACATGTATGCCTGTAAGAGCGCTATATAAATGCCAATATTATTATTATTATTATTAATTATCCCCCCGAAAATTACCCGCCTGTTCATTAAAGGGGAAGCACACCCTGATATCAAGTTGGTTTTAATAAAAGCATAATTTGCTTTCGGGGGGGGGGGTCGATTGTCCTTGGTGGTAATTGTCCCGCTGGTAACTGGCCGGGGGTACTTTGTCCCGCTGGCAACTGGCCGGGGGCATTTGTCCTAGAACCTTACAAAAAATGACATATACATGTAATTATGGAAATACCAGACGAAACTGATTTAAAAAGAATTTAAAACAAAATCCTATATAATTATGCAGGCACGTAGCCAGAGTTTGATGGTTGGGGGTGGGGGGGGGGGGGCACATACATGTAATCGATCGAGGTAAAAAAAAAAAGGGGGTCTAAAAAAGTTCAACCGATCCTGAGGCTACGTACCTTTATAATTTTATGGAGATATATGGAGAGGCAAAACATAATTAACTTGTGGCTAATCAGGATAGATGTCGGGTGAAGACGGTAGGTCTCTATTGGCCTGTTCCATTACTTACTCAATAGACAAAATTTGTACTAAATGAAAACTCGATCGCAACTGATACCTAGCGCATCCTACTGATCTTAGGTACCGTCAATAGTACTCTCAGACATAAAACGAAATCTTCGACAAAATCTAAGCAAAATAATGAATGAAGTAAGATAACTTACAATTGATTATTACGGACTGTCATGACTGTTACAACACCATACGGAATAGAGACAAGCACATACCTAAAAAAAATATTTGTTTGCTAGTTTCATAATCATACTTGACCCACAAACAGCAGATTATGGATGAGATTTTGTCTGTACAAAGGTGAGACCCAATATGATGATACTGACGGACCATCTATAAATAGATTTGTATAAATGTTTACCCATCTACTTCATCCTATGTACATAACGCGCAGAATACAGCGTTTTTTTTAGTAAATAAAATATTGAAACAATTGCGACATTCCATTCATTTAAATCTTGTACTACTTCTGGATGGATCTTTTTTTCTAACCAGCAATTATTGATCTCCACCCTCGCTCCTATTTTTTCCCATGCAGCCCTGAGGGCCCCGCTCTCTTCTCTCTAATTCCCTCTCTCTCTCTCTCTCTCTCTCTCTCAGTCTCTCTCTCTCTCTGTCTCTCTCGGTATGTGCACGTGTGTGTGAGCAGGTGTTTGTGTGTGTGTCTTTCTCTCTCTCTCTCTCTCTCTCTCTCTATTCCCCCCTCTCTCTCTCTCTCTCTCTCTCTCCCTCTCCCTCTGTCGGTGGACCCTTTTTCTAACATTTCCTATATTAATAGTAAATGAGCAATCCCTGAATTCCTCAAAAAGAATTGGCATCTTATTTCCATCTCGCATACACTTTTACAGGGCAGAAATTCAGATGTAGGCCTATAAAGAGTTTGTAGAATACATAGATATAAGAAGGGGGAAAATCACCAAAAATAAACAAAATAGGCCTAATTATTACATTCTTAAGCTGATTTATTTATTTATTTATTTATGATATTTAGACAGGGTGACTCATTATCACCAATAATGGTGGTCTTCCATGAGTCCCTGTTAAACATAATGAGGTTCATAATAGTTTAACAAATATATATATATATATATATGATAATAATATTAATAACAACATCTTGAACATAAATTCATAACAGCAATAAACAATAAGTAAGAACATGTTTAAAGATATATACAAAGTATTTGGTATCCTCATAATAAAAGAATGTTTTGTTTGTTTTGTTTTGCTTTGCTTTTCGTTCAAGAAAACGTTGTTGCATAATTATAATAATTTAATTTTAACATTATTGCATAGACAGTAATTAGTTCTTAAATCCGATGAAAAATAACTATTAACATATTTTGGTAAGTATTAGCCTAGACCTTGAAAAAGGGCAACATATACTTTGAGAGTTCAATTGTTATATACATATTTACAACAACAAAATATATTACAGGATAATAAATTATTGGATGATATGAAAAATTAATGCATGTAATCTAGTATGGCAATGATGCCTCTTCCCTCCCATTTTCTCAGTCAGTCATTATGGCGTTGCTGTGTATTTATTCGTTAGTTATTGTTTGTTGCTGGTTAGTCGGTTGGTTGTTGTTGATGTTTATAATTATAAACCAGCCGTGTATTGACATTGGTGATTGCAACATGTTAATCCTCTGTAATATCATTAGAACCCAGCTAAGAGAGAGAGAGAGAGAGAAAGAGAGAGAAAGAGAGAGGGGGTAGAGAGAAGGGGAGACATAGGGGGAGGAGAGAAGGGAGAGCTAGAGAGAGAGAGAGAGAGAGAGAGAGGTAGATATATACGGGGAGGGGAATGAGAGAGAAAGGGAGAGGGAGAAAGAGAGAGATGGAGAGTGCGTGTTCACAAAATAATGAAAGCAAACATCCATGGCTCGATCAAAGATATCCTCCTTGGCTCGATCAGTCATTCATAAAAAGCCGGGGAGGGGGCCGGGAGGGATGGGATAATTATGAAAATAAGCAAACTTACCCCCATCCATCGGAGCCAAACAACAAATAGTATACGCTCAGCTTCAGCAAACA